CTGTAGTGTTCAGTGATAAATGATAAAGGTATGTATGTATATATACATATACATATGTATGTACACTTTTGAAAAATGTATGCAATTGCAATCATATATAAAGAGTATATAATAATTCTGGTTTTTCAAAAACAATGACAGAATAATCCTCTTTATGTTTTTATATGATTTTATGATTTGAAGAACATGGGTATCGTGGATATATTGTTTATGTCAGTAAAAAGTAGGTAGGGAAGATAACATGTATTATAGTTATGGTCACATTTATATAAAATGAGTCTGTGCATATGTATGTATAAAAAGATGCATGAAAATAAAGTCACCAACTAGAAATCTAGTCGACATTAATTCCTTCCTTCTCTCATCATCTCATGTAAACAGTCTCAAAGTCCAGTGATTTTTAAGCATTTCTCAAATGTTTTTCTTACTTTCCATGTTTTCTGCCATTGCTTTAGGTACCATCTTGGCCTGGACTACTGAAACAGCTCCCTAACCATTCTCTTGACTTGAGTCTTAACTACCTAAATTCTTCTTCCATTCTCTTGTCAAAGTAGATCTATCCAGGGATATCTGACACCTAAATCTCTACCTAAAACTCTTCATTGATGCCCTCTTACTTATGCTACAAAATCCAAACCCCTTGCCATGGTCTAAAGGGTCTTGCAAAATGAGGACTTGACTACTTTTCCTGTCACGCCCCACCTTTGGCAACAATTGACTAGCTTTGTTTTGTGTACAAGATTTTACTAAAATTCTGGTTAGTTAACATACAGTATACGTAATAGTAGTTTCAGGAGTAGAATTTAGTGATTCATCACTTACATACAACACCCAGTGCTCATCACAAGTTCGCTCCTTAATACCCATCACCAATTTAGCCCACTCCCCACCCACCTTTCCTTCAGCAACCTTCAGTTTGTTCTCTATAGTTAAGAGTCTGTTTTATGATTTCCCTCTCTCTTCCTTTCCCCGTGTGTTTATCTGTTTTGTTTCTTAAATTCCACATATGAGTGAAATCATATGGTATTTGTCTTTTTCTGACTGATTTATTTTGCTGGGCATAATACCTAGCTCCATCCACATCATTGCAAATGGCAAGATTTCATTCTTTTTGATGGCTGAGTAATATTCCATTATTTATATATATATATATATATATATATATACACACACACACACATATACATACATATACACCACATCTTCTTTATCCACTTATTGGTTGATGGACATTTGGACTCTACATAATTTGGCTATTGCTGATAATGCTGCTATAAACATTGGGGTGCATATATCCCTTCAAATCTGCATTTTTGTATCCTTTGGGTTAATACCGAGTAGTGCAGTTGCTGTATTGTAGGGTAATTCTGTTTTTAACTTGAGGACCCTCCATACTGTTTTCCAGAGTGGATGTACCAATTTGCATCCACCAATCGTGTAAGAGGGTTCCCCTTTCTCCATATCCTCGCCAACATCTGTTATTTTCCTGTGTTGTTAATGTTAGCCATTCTAACAGGTGTGAAGAATATCTCATTGTAGTTTTGATTTGTATTTCCCTGATGATGAGTGATATCAAGCATCTTTTCATGTGTCTGTTGGTCATCTGTATGTCTTCCTTGGAAAAATGTCTATTCATGTCTTCTGCCCACTTTTAACTGGATTATTTGTTTTTTGGGTGTTGAGTTTGGTTAAGTTCTTTATAGATTTTGGATACTAACCTTTTACCTGATATGTCACTTACAAATATCTTCTCCCATTCAGAAGGGTGCCTTTTAGTTTTGTTGATTGTTTCCTTTGCTGTAAAGATTTTTTATCTTGATGAAGTCTCAATAGTTCATTTTTGCTTTTGTTTCCCTTGCCTCAGGAGAAAGTTGTTACGACACAGATCAAAGAGGTTGCTGCCTGTGTTCTCCTTTAGGATTTTGATGGTCTCCTGTCTCACATTGAGGTCTTTCAACCATTTTGAATTTATTTTTATGTATGGTGTGAGAAAGTGGTCTGGTTTCATTCTTTTCCATGTTGCTGTCCAGTTATTCCAACACCATTTGTTGGAGAGGCTGTCTTTTTTCCATTGGATATTCTTTACTGCTTTGTCAAAAATTAGTTGACTGTATAATAGTGGGTCCATTTCTGGGTTCTCTGTTCTGTTCCATTAATCTCTGTGTCTGTTTTTATGCCAGTACCATACTGTCTTGATCACTACGGCTTTGTAATAAATCTTGAAGTCTGGAATTGTGGTGCCTCCCCCTTTGCTTTTCTTTTTCAAGATTGCTTTGGCTATTCGGGTAGTCTTGTGGTTCCATACAAATTTTAGGATTGTTTATTGTAGCTCTGTGAAAAATGCTGGTGGTATTTTGATAGGAATTGCATTATAGATTGCTTTGGGTAGTGCAGACATTTTAACAATATTTGTTCTTCCAATCCATGATCATGGAGTGTTTTTCCATTTCTTTGTGTCTTCTTCAATTTCTTTCATAAGCTTTCAGCATACAGATTTCAGCATACAGATCTCTTATCTCTTTGGTTAGGTTTATTCCTAGGTATCTTATGGTTTTTGGTGCAGTTGTAAATAGAATCAATTCCTTGATTTCTCTTTTTGCTACTTCATTTGGTGTATAGAAATGCAAAAGATTTCTGTACAGTGGTTTTGTATCCTATGACTTTACTGTAATCAGTTCTAGCAATTTTTGGTGGTCTTTCAGGTTTTCTACATAGAGTATCATGTCTACAAATAGTGAAAGTTTGACTTCTTCGCTGATTTGGATGCGTTTTATTTCTTTTTGTTGTCTGATTACTGAGGCTATAACTTCCACTACATTGTCAAATAACAATGGTGAGAGTGGGCATTCCCCTGTTTTGTCCCTGACTGTAGAGGGAAAGCTCTCAGTTTTTCCCAATTGAGGATGATATTAGCGTGGGTTTTTAATATAAGGCCTTTATGATGCTGAGGTATGTTCCCTCTATCCTTACTTTGGCAACCATCAACAAGCTTTAGTTGTCCACATAGGCCATGGAGACTGTCCCTCAAGGCTTCTGCTTATGCTGTTACTTCTGCTTGGAATTCTCTTTTCCTCTTCCCCTTAACCCCCACCATACCTCCTCCCAGCAACTTACTCTTTTAGGACTTAACTTCTGTGTTTCCTCTGCTAGAAATTCTCCCCAACCTCACCCTCCTTCCCAGGCTAAACTAGGTGACCTCTATCTTGCATCTACCTTATGTATTGTTGTGAATTCTTTCTCACTTCCTCTTCCCCACAAGACAAGGGAAGGAACTGATGTTTTCATCATTATAATTCTAGTACTTTACAAGTGCCTGGCACTGTTAATTTGCTCATGATGAAATGCCCTGTGCCCCCTGTCCCCCACCTAAAAAGGTCTTTAAGTTATAGCCTAAAAATGGTTTCACATTCAAATTTTAGAGATTAAGATGAAACATCTTCATGTTTAGCATAGGGAGAAAAATATTTCTTTGGGGTCACATGTTCTAATACAAATAACATACCAAATTAAAAGAGTGAGATTATAAAGCAAATAATTTCATTCATTTTTTTAAATTGATACATATCTTCATAAGTAATTGTATACAATCATGATATGTATATTGTGCCATTTTAAATTATGATACATGGTTATCTAAGTTTTTTATGATTGGAGACATTTATTTAGAATCTTCAGAGTAGAATTGCAGAGTTATTAAATACTAATTTCTGTGGATGCAGATAGATGTGGTTAAACCAACTGATAAATGGTTAATACCTGGTGCTAAGTGGTGCCAAAATGATGCCACACATTTGATATTTGGGACTAGTTATGCCTTTTTTTAGCCATTAGTATATAGTTGAAAATTATGTATTAATGACCAACCACAAACGAGATCAGTGGTTAGTTTCAGAGTTGCATAATAGAAGAGTACATTTTTAGGAGGTTAATTTTCATAGTTTTTAGAGAGATAGCTAACTTTTAAAAGAACCAGAGTTGCTAATAAACACTGCAGAAACAGAAATGTCTGTTTGATGGAATGATTAGAACACAAATTATACCCTTTTACATCAGGATATTACAGCTGATGTTTCGGAAAGACTCTCTTTACATATTATATTTTTCACTGTAACCAGTTTTGCTTTTAAAAATAGCAGTTTGAAAGGTAGGGTGTTCGTAACATTGAACAGGCAGGGTAGAGCTCATGATTAGGTTTGTTACCTCAAGATGAGCATTTTGTTTTTTAACGCTGTTTCGGTCATTTTAATAGCAATACTTTTGCTTTTTTCGGTGGCCTACTTCCCAGTTAAAAGGTTTTTTTTTTTTTTTTTAAGCAATCACGTGACAAATTATGTAATATGTGGTTTACTTTTCTTACTACAATTATTCACAAAAAGGAGTTTTACAGAAATTATAAGTTATGGAAGCAATGTTACTAACTGTGATTATAAACTGGTCATTTTGAGCAAGGATTTTATGGTGAGGTGAATGTTTCTTTTTTTGGAAGTTTATTGTATAAATAAATCTTATTAATAGTGGTAGGCTTTAGCTTTCATTTAACATGACAGCCACGATGAATTATTTCTGTGCAAATACGATGTTTTTGTGTCCAGTTTCCAAATGGCTTATGTCTGGATATAATTGCATAATCAACTATTAATGTAAATTATTATCCAGTGAAATGTCTAAAGTGAACAATAACCATACAGAGGCTGAATTAAAATAATAATAAAAAATACCCTTAGATTCTAGAAGGAGGCCATTTCCTTTTTATTTTTATTTTTTTCTATCACTGGTGCCTTTTTGATCCCTGTCCTCCAACCCCACTTCTTCAAGACTCTACAAAAAGCATCCTAGGAAATAATGTTGATGTTTACAATAAATTAGAAATAGCAAGGAGACTTTGAAAGAATCAAAGAATCTTCACCACCTCCCACCTCTCTGTACCACCTGTGCCCAAAAGACGTAGCTATTTTTCTTATGTTGGCTGCTATTCAGATTATCTTTTCTCTTTTTCATAGTGATGTTGAACCTGAATGGCTGGACAGTGTGCGGAAAAATGGAGAATTATTTTATTTGGAATTGAGTGAGGATGAAGAAGAAAGCCTTCTTCCTGAGACTCCTACTGTGAACCATGTCAGGTTTAGTGAAAATGAGATTATAATTGAAGAGGATGATTACAAAGAAGGAAAAAAGTATGAACCTAAACTCAAGCGGTTTACGAAAATTTTAAAAAGTAAAAGCCTTTTACCCAAGCGCTACAATAAAAAAAATAGCAATGACAATGAACCAGTGTCCATTCTAAAGCATCAGTCCAACCAGAAAACAGGAGTGGTTGTCCAACAGCGATACAAAGACGTGAATATTTATGTAAACCCCAAAAAGTTAACTGTGACCAAAGCCAAAGAGCAGCTGAAGCTTCTGGAAGTACTGGTTGGGATTATTCATCAGACCAAGTGGAGCTGGAAAAAAACTGGAAAACAGGGCAGTGGAGAGAGACTTGTGGTCCATGGCCTGTTGCCAGGAGGATCTGCTATGAAGAGTGGTCAGATATTAATTGGTAAGTGCTGTTGGTGAACATCTGTTCTTGTTTGCAGAGATTCATGATTAGTAATGCCTTTTGAGACATATGATCAAAACAGAATTATATTCAAAGTCTCAACAGATTAAGGACTGCTTGATGATATTTGGGACAGTAGTGAAATTGTTTAAGCATTGGTATACTGCAAGGCATAGTGTTCTTTAAATAAGTACTTTGGTGAGTTGAATGTGTGTGTGCCTTGTTTAGGCCAAGGAATAGCTTAACTAATTTTTGAGTTTTGAATTATATAATTTTATTTCATCTTGGTTATATTTCCTGACAAGAAAAAGAAAATAAGTTGATTTTACAGTGATAATTTAGATTTGAATGACCTATACCCAATAGCATAAAATAATATGTAATTTATGAATAAAAATACTTTTAAATTGTATGTTTGTACTTGAGTACACTAAGTTCTTGGAGTGGTTTTAAATTGTTTCATTTGGCATATTTAGCCACAGTGATGTTATACGTAAATTTCCTTTCAAGGGTGCTTGTCATAAAATATCTCATCAATTTCAAGGGAAAAAAATAAATCCCGAAGTTATTCTGAATATATATTAAAGTGAGCATTTTGTGTTGCTAATACATTTTTAGCTGTTGGATATAATGGTTGCATCAGTAGCAACTTTATTACTTAGGGAAAGCTATATTAGTCAGATGTGAGAATATATTCTTTTTTTTTTTTTAATTTTTTTTTCAACGTTTATTTATTTTTTTGGGACAGAGAGAGACAGAGCATGAACGGGGGAGGGGCAGAGAGAGAGGGAGACACAGAATCGGAAACAGGCTCCAGGCTCTGAGCCATCAGTCCAGAGCCTGACACGGGGCTCGAACTCCCGGACCGCGAGATCGTGACCTGGCTGAAGTCGGACGCTTAACCGACTGCGCCACCCAGGCGCCCCGAGAATATATTCTTAATGAAACTTAAAAATTATTAATAAATCCAAAAGCTGACAGTCTTTTAGGTTGACTCAGCCTATAAGATTTAGATAAAGGAACTTTTATAGATACTTTAGAAACATGTTTTTAAAATATTAAAAAAAATTTTTAATGTTTATTTTTGAGAGAGACAGACAGAGACAGAGAGAGAGAGAGAGAGAAACAGCACAAGTAGGGGAGGAGCAAAAAAAAGAGGGAGACACAGAATCTGAAGCAGGCTCCAGGCTCCAAGCTGTCAGCACAGAGGCCGATGCGGGATTTGAACCCACGAGCCACGAGATCATGACCTGAACTGAAGTAGGACGCTTAACTGACTGAGCCACCCAGGCGCACCTAAAAAATATTTCTTTAAGTCTGAGTTGCATTTGTTTGTTCATTGATTCATTAAATTTTTGAGCATCTGCTAAGTGTCAGGAATACAAAGATTACTCTAATGATCTAGTTACTCCTCTTAGGAAGCTCATACTATGGTGGAAGAGATGAGTCAGAAACAGGCAGACAGTTTCACGTAGTATGATAAGTGCCATCATGGGGGTTTACGAGGATGAATCATGTAGGATGAGCATCTGTGCAGTGTGTGTTCCAAATGGTTGCAACAAGATCTCCACGTTCTCATCTTACAAAGTAATGTTGATACTCTTCCCATGGAGAGTTACAGTGTTTGTGTCACCGCCTATACCCCCTGGCGCCTGTCATGGGCCTGTGACTACAGCTCAGATAGTATTATGTGATTTCAGAGGTAGGTCATAAAAGGTGATGCAGCCTCTGCCTTGTATTCTTGGAATCTAGTTGCCATTCTGTACAGGAGCAAGGCCGGTGTACATAAAGAGGCCATGAGTAGTACTCTGGCTGAGGCCTCAGCCACCCTGCAACATCAGCTACCACACATGAGTGAAGAAGTCTTCTGGATGACTCCAGCTCCAGCTGGCTGCAACTTTGTGAGGAACCCTGAGTGAGACCCTTGGCTAGTCAACCCCAGAACCAGGGAAGATAATAAATGGTGGTTGTTGTTTTAAACAACTTAGTTTTGGGGTCATTCATTATGCAGCAACGAATAGCTGGAAAAGAAGCTAATGCATGCTTACATTCTCTCAGGTCCTCAGCTTTCTTTTTTGTAAAATATGTCTAAGTTTTATTCTTTTCATTCTATCAGAGGAGGCCAGGATTCATGCTTATGAAATCCTGCTTGGTCGTTGCCAACCACCGTAATTCTAGGTACCACGTGATGGGAAACTCCAGCTAATGTACTGTCTGTATTTATCTGGGGCCTCTGCTCGGGACCTACTTGGACTGATTTGTAGACAAATCTCTAAAATTCTTTTTACTCATCCCTCTTGAAACCTAGTAGAGAGGTGGTTATGGTCAGTGAGCATGCACTTCCATGTTTTCTTTCCCCTGATCTTCACTCCTAATACCTAGGCCTTACCTCTAGGCCTGATCTTTCTGCACCAACTGTATGGGAAGAAAGAGAATGAACTATAGAGAGGAAGAAACTACTAGGCAGTCCTGTTGTTAATCTTTAAAATAATTAAAGATACCCAGGATGCTGGTAGTGTACTTTCTGACCTGAATGTGGTTACATGGATGTGTTCAGTTTTTGATCATTTATTGTTGTAACACTACAATTTGTGCCCTTTTCTGCATGTGTATTGAATAACAATAAAAAGTTAGAAAAATGAGGTTCATGATTTCATTTCCATAATGGAAGCATTTATGACTTACTAATACGTTAAAAAATTGTCAGAATAAAATGATTATTTCATCTTTGGTGCATGGCAAAACACTTGGTTGATAAATAAGCCCTCAAAAACATTTACTGAATAAATGCATAAACTGTAAAAAATATGTGTAAGGAAAACAATTAGATGTAAATAGAAATACAGCAAAATGCTAATAGTGTTGGGTTAGTGTGGATACATTATGGTTGATTTGTTTCTCTATTTTTTCAGATTTTTAATTTTATGATTATGTTATATATTTTTAAAGTTACAAAAAAATAAAGTTGATACTTTGGGAATAAATAATGGACTATTTTAATGTCATGGTCAGTTTGATAATTCCACAAAATGGAATTTCTCATTTGTTTCTTTCATACTTTCATTTCACACTGAAGTCTGTGGGTGAGCTCTGAGGTAACCCTATAGGCAGGAGGATCATGAAAACTTTGTCCTGGTAACGCAGTTTGCTGGGGTGACTTCTGCTATTGTCTAGCTGGAGGATGACCCTCCTTTGCCTAAAGTCCATTAGCCAAGACAGTGAGACTGGTGACTCTTTTCATTCTGTCCTTTCAAGACAGCAGAACTCTATTCTATTCTGATTCTTCTGTACCTGGATTTTGGGGATTTTGCTGCATTTTTCAGTGCCATTTTTGCTCTTCTTGCTACCGACTTGCATATTTATTTTTTATTTTTATTTCTGAGTTTTTCTTAAAGTTTGACAGCTGATTTCTTCTTGACTACCAGTACCAGCCTCCATCCCCAGACCAAAGCAAATCCTCTTTTTGCCTACACCCTAGAAACTGCATGTCACCTTGGTGACTTTTTCTTCTTCAAGATGACCCATTCTTGTTTAACTAGGTGTTTTTTTAAGGATTAGGAAGAATAGGGTTAGAGAAATCACACATTAATATTCTAGACACATACACCCCCAGCAGATTGTTTCAGTTCAACAATAACACAAAGTTTTTATTTTTTTATTTCAAAGATTTTATTTTTAAATAATCTCTCTACCCAATATGGGACTCAAACTTACAACCCCGAGGGGTACCTGGGTGGCTCAGTTGGTTAGGTGTCCCAACATCGGCTCAGGTCATGATTTCACAAATCGTGAGTTTGAGCCCCGCTTCAGGCTCTGTGCTGAAAGCTCAGAGCCTGGAGCCTGCTTCTGATTCTGTGTCTCCCTCTGTCTCTGCCCCTCCCCCACTCATGCTCAGTCTCTCTCTCTCTCTCTCTCTCTCTCTCTCTCTCTCTCTCACTCTCTCTCTGTCAAAAATAAATAAACATTGAAAAAAAATTAAAAAAAAAAACTTACAACCCCAAGATCAAAGGTCACATGCTGTACTGACTGTGCCAATCAGGTATCCCTAAAATTTTTATTTTAAGCTCTTATTATGTAACTTCTAATGTTCTCACCTGTGATCACTGAATAGCTTTTTTTGTATGACATATTGTGCTATTTCTCTTTTAAATTTTTTGAAGTTTTCTTTTTTGCTTTTTAAAAATCTTTTTGAGGTATAACATACATTCATAAGATGGACAAATCTTAAGTGTACATTCAGCAAATTTTTTCATATGTATGTACCTGTGTAACCGCCACCCAGATCAAGATATAGAACATTTCCAGTACCCAGAAGTCTCCATGGTGCCTCCTCCCAGTTAATACCCTCTCCCAAAGGTAATCTGAAAGTCAAGTTTTCTATCAATAGAGTTGATTTTACCTCCTCCTCTTTTCTTATTGTTTTATTTTGCCTCTTCTTGAACTTCATATAAATAGAAATATATGGTGTGCATTCCCATGTGTTTATTTTCTTTATTATAATCTGTGAGAAATATCCAAGTTGTTGCTATATAGTATCCCATTGGAATGTACACTATTATATTTCCATTTCACTGTTGATGGACATTCTGGTTGTTTCCAGTTAAAACATTTGAAGTACTTTTTTTGTTTTTTAAACCAAACAGTTTTTTTTAACGTTTATTTGTTTATTTTGAGAGTGAGAGAAAGAGAGTATGTTAGTGCACATGAACAGGGGAGGAAAGGCAGAGAAGGAGAGAGAAAATCCCAAGCAGGCTCTGCACTGTCAGAGCCCCACGTGGAGCTCGATCTCATGAACCATGAGATCGTGATCTGAGCCAAAATCAAAAGTCAGACACCTAGCCAACTGAGCTACCCAGGTACCCCTGATGTGCTTTTTTTTAAAAGATGGATTTTTTTTAATGAGTATATAATGGATGGTTTTATTCTTTAATATTTTGCATGTTGTTATTTGATACACATTTTTATTTTCACCTTCTGTAATACTTGCAACATTTCAATTTTCTCATTGAAGGGAACTTCTCCTGTGTTTGTCTCTCCTTCCTCACATTTCTTTCCCACATTTTGCCTGTGGTACTCGACTCAGCAGTAAAGGAAAGAAACTGAAGCAGTGAGTTCACTGGAAAGATAGAATTTTAGAGTTTTTAGGCCTTCCTAGAGACCTTCTCATACAGTTGATTCCTTCTACAGCTGAGTACCAAAGGGATTACATGATTTACCCAGGAACAAGGGCAGTCAGTGATAAAGCTGTGACCTACAAGTTCTGATTTCCATTCACAAAGTTCTTTTACTTGCTGTAGTGTTCACTTGAAGGGGTGGGGAAGTGCCAAAGGATTTCTCTTTGAAGAAAAAGAAAAGAAATTATTTAATCCTTTCAAAATGTAATTTGGAAATAAGGATTAAGCTACAACAATGTACTTTTTAAACCAATTAATCCATTTTGAGACACTTATCCAAAAGAACCTAAAACAGATCTGTAAACCATGGCCTGCATGTCATATCACACCTACCACCCATTTTTGTACAGTCTGCAAACTAAGAATGGCTTTCACTTTTTCAATGATTTAAAAAAAAAAATCAAACGAACAATATTTTATTACATAAGAAAACTTTATGAAAGTCAGATATTAATGTTTATAAATAAAATTGTATTGGAACACAGCCACATTTGTTTGTTTATTGCTGCTTTCAAGCTACAGTTGCAAATTTGAGTAGCTGCTGCAACAAAACCATATGGCCTGCAGAACCAAAAGTATTTACTTATCTTGCCCTTTACAAAAGTTTGCTGACCCCAAATGTAAAAGAAGGAAAAACTATGCGCATGAAAACATTTATTTAAGGGGCACCTGGGTGGCTAATTGGTTAAGCATTCAACTTCAGCTCATGGTTTGTGGGTTCAAGTCCCGTGTCGGGTTCTGCTGACAGCTCAGAGCCTGGAGCCTGCTGCAGATTTTGTGTGTGTGTGTGTCTCTCTCTGCCCCTGCCCCGCTCACGCTCTCTGTCTCTGTCTCTGTCTCTCAAAATTAATAAACTTTAAAAAAGGTAAAAAAAGTAAAAAAACATTTATTTAAACATTTTTTAGTAGTAAAAAATAAAAAAGCATGAAAATGTCAAACTGGAGTATGGTTATTTGAATTATAATTTAATAAATGTATGTGTTATTTGACTATTAAAATTATAATCTAAAAACAGTGTGGGGCACCTGGGTGGCTCAGTCGGTTAAGTGCCAACTTCAGCTCAGGTCATGATCTCACAGTTCATGGGTTTGAGCCCCGCATTGGGCACTATGCTGACAGTCTGCTTCGCATTGTGTGTCTCCCTCTCTCTCTGGTCCCCACCCCTCCCCGCCTCTCACCACTGGTGCTCTGTCTCTCTGTCTCTCAAAAATAAACAAACATTAAAAATAAATTAAAAATAAATAAAAACAACGAACTAACATCAGAATTCTTACGACTTGAGAGGTTTAAAAGGATGAAATTCCTTTATATCTCATTTGTGCCAATATAGGTAAAGACTAAAAATAATTTGCAAAAATAATTATGGTTACAATGCTGGGGTCATCAACAACTTTTCCAACATTTCTGTATTATTATTTTCTATTTTAATGAGAAATAAAAACCTTGCACTATTTCTTTTCCAGCCTCATCAGGTAATGTGATATTTTACTTAATCAAACTTTTTGAATGATAGTTACAGTATATGAGTCACCATTATTTAAGGATTTCTAGAATGATAGGTTAGGAGGGACCTTAATTTTCTGCTTATGCCTGCATATTACAAATGAAAGATTGGTATTGAAGCTCAAAAAATACATAATAAAGTTAATTCTCTCAAAACTTAAGAATTTTTCAATAAATGCCTTGATGGTAAATACATTAACTTGAAAGTGTAAAATGGCAGTATGGTAACTATGTTTGAAAAGCCAGATTCTCTTCTCCCTGAAGTCAGATTCAGCCTAATTTAAATAACCAATTTAAATTCACAGTCTGGTCCCACACCACTGGCACATACATATTTCCCAGTCTTTCTCCTCTAACAAGATTTATTATTTTTCTCCAGCAACCTCTATGTACCTGTGTATCCAGATCTGTTCTTTATTATTTATAGTTCCTGATTCTCATTTGGTGCTTAGCCAAGACTGCTTTGTATTGTTAGGCAGGTGTATTCATTTTCATTTTGTATTGTTAAGCAGGTAATTTGTGCTGTGACAAATTACCACAAACTTAGTGGTTTAAAACAACACAAATTTATCATCTTGCAGTTCTGGAAGTCAGAAGTCTAAGATGTGTCCTCTTGCACTAAAATCAAAGTATCCGTAGGACTACATTCCTCTGAATTCTCTAGAGTCCCTTTCCTTGGCCGGCATTCAGAGGCCACTGGAATTCCTTGCCTTGTGGTCCTTTCCTCCAACTTCAAAGCCAACAGTATAGTATCCTCAAGTCTCTCTCTGCCTCTGACCCTCCTGCCTCCTTTCTTTTAAATACCCTCTGATTACATTGGGCCCACTTAGATAATCTCCCAATGTCAACATCCTTAACTTGATTACATCTGCAAAGTCCCTTTTGCCATGTAAGGTAACATTCACAGATTTCAGTGATTAAGATGTGGACAACTTTGGGAGACCACTAATCTACCTACCACAGTGGGGATTGTTAGGTAAAATAATGAGTTTTATTTTTTTCTTTTTGTAATGGTAGTATTTGTTTAATGTAGACAGTTTAGAAAATATAATTAAGCAAAAAGAGAAAAAGCACATACACCCAAAGGCAAAATTTTTATATGTAGCTTTTCTTTTTCCTGTATTTATGTGTAATAGTTTTGTATTAAAAATAATTTCTTAACCTGTATATTCATTTTGTATATAGTATAAATAGAACAGTAAACAAACTTTGGCATTTAGTTTTTCATGGGACTTGGTACCCTTCAGTACACATTTGATATTAAGTAGATGCTGAGAAATTGATGGATTTTCTCAAATGATTAATTTTACATTGAGGAACAGATTTAAGCACTGTGATAAACTGATTTCACCTCTTTATATTTTATTTGACTTTGAATGTATCTCGATAAAATTTTCCACCAGCACACACCATTTCTTACCTAACAATTCAAACTAATTCATGCAATTAATTTCCTTTTAGCCTTTGACAGTGCATACTAATGACTTCTGTGTCCTTGTTGAGAAAGAACTTTCCTGGAGTGTATACTGCCCACTGTAGTGATACGATGTCCAGGAAGCCTGCCATTTCTGAGTCACAGAGATGCTGAGAAAAACTTGAGGCAAACAAATATCTGGGAGAATGAGAAGTGGATATAACTCTTCTGTTATAGAAACACAAGTTTTTTAGGGCGACTTCATGGTTCAGTCAGTTAAGTGTCCAACTTTGGCTCAGGTCATTATCTTGCCATTCATGAGTTTGAGCCCTGCATTGGGCTCTGTGCGAACAGCTCAGACCCTGGAGCCTGCTTTAGATTCTGTGTCTCCCTCTCTCTCTGCCCCTCCCCTGCTATCACTCTGTCTCTCTCTCTGTCTCAAAAATTAAAAAAAAAAAAGAAAGAAAGAAAGAAATTTTTCTACTAAACTTTTAAAAATATTTTGTATACTACACTCACTCTAAAATTAATTTTCATACCTGTTATGATGATATATGTATGGTTCCTACTTTTAGAGCTTTGTTAAACATGTTTTCAGATGATTACTCCCTGTAACATTATCTATGTTGTCCAAGGCTGTTCACTACATAAACATCCTTGAAAAAATAATTCAGAGCAAGGACTTTCAGTGCCTTAGCTTACAAGATATACAAAAACATGAGAGATTGATGGAGAATTGTTTACCAACACTATTATCTATATACATGTTTATTACCTGTCTTCCCCAAAGCATATGAAGTTCCATGAGGGTAGAGATTTTTGTCTGTTTTATTCAATTCTCTATCTGTAGTGCCTAGAACAGTAAATGGTACATAGTAGGTGCTCAATAAATATCTGTTGGATGACTATTAATTATTTGGTCCATTTCCTAATGATATGATTGATTAGAAATGATAAAAAAATAACCCTTGTATGTATATATTTCTATTAATAAAGCTCATTGGTATTTTGATATTACCTCTAATTATGTTGTAAAAGTAAATTTCCATTTTAACATTGATCTTTACTTTATGAAAGCCACCAAATTTAATAAACATACACATTTAAAGAAAAGCCATGGAGAAGGCGATTTTTACCAAAACGTGCTGTGCATTTTGTTATGATTGGGGCCTTTGAAACAAAGGCATAGATCAATAACAGCAAATCCTGCAGCATACTGAGTTATGCCACAGGGATTGAATTAAAATTTTAGCTAAATTTTTTCACTGTGGGTTTAAGTGAATAGATTCAGTTTTGCTAAGTGCAGTACTTGTCCTTTGAGTTTACATAATGCTCTCAAATTATATTCAAAATGAGAATATTCATCTCTTTAAATCTCCATAGGTTGTATTTAGTTATGGCACTGTGTTGGGCTGTGTTATGTCAGAAAAGAGTGGAGTGGGAGCTTACCTCTGCTGCTAATGAAGTGTATAAAAATACATAATGAGTTCCATAGACTTTGAAGAGGTCAGAATAGATGCTTTTTAATGTTCTAATTCTAGGTCTTTTTGGGTTTTGTATATTCATACAACCACCTTTGTTACTCTGTTTTCAGGTGATGTCCTTGTTGCTGTGAATGACGTGGATGTGACTTCTGAAAACATAGAAAGGGTTCTGTCTTGCATTCCTGGACCCATGCAGGTATGGACAATCTTTTTCTATATTCTTTGATGAATTAAAAATAAGGACATCTTGTACTGTTTTCTTTTTTTAAGATTCTGAAAATGACCATGTGTAACGTGAATTGCACTTACATACTTGACTGAGGGTTGTTTTTTTTTAATGTTTATTTTTGAGAGAGAGAGAGTGTGAGCAGGGGAAGGACAGACAGAGAGGGAGACACAGAATCTGAAGCATACTCCATGCTCTGAGCTGTTAGCACAGAGCCCAACACAGGGCTTGAACTCATGAACCATGTGATGATGACCTGAGCTGAAGTCAGAAGCTCAACTGACTGAGTCACCCAGACGCCCCTACATACTTGACTATTTAAAAAAATTTGGCTCTTGTTAACATTTTTAGCTTTTGGAGATGATTCTAAATAGAGGAGAAATATCTACAAATAAAACTCCTCCTAGGGTGCCTGGGTGGCTCAATCAGTTAAGTGTCTGACCCTTGATTTCCACTCAGGTTATGATCTCATGGTTCATGGGTTCAAGCCCAACATTGGGCTCAGTGCTGAGCATTGAGCCTGCTTGGGATTCTCTCTTTCCCTCGCTCTTTGCCCCTCCCTGGCTCGTGCTTGCTCATTCTTTCTCAAAATAAATAAATAAACTTAAAAAAATTAAACAAAAAAACTTATCCTAAGTAAGCAGGAACAATGACAATAATAAAAAGATCTATAATAACTAACCTGTCATTATAACTACCATATATGTTGATGAAATCCAGTTCCTAGAAAAGTCATTTTGAACAGTCATGGAATTTTCTTTTCTCTAATTTATTAAAATCACTATTAAGTTTTTTAAAATGTGGTTTTGTTTATTTTAAAAACTATACCATTTTGTTGATTTTTTTCTGTTATCTAGTTTAACCTTATTCCCAAGCTCTTATTTAGGTATTTAGTGAATTATTTTTCATTCCTTGTAGGTAAAAATAAATCTCTTTCATAATAGTTATTTTGATAGTCTAAGCATTGACATTTTGTATCATAGATGACATTTTTAGGTCTTTAGATGAATTTTTAAAGTGCTATACTTTCTATTTATGAATGCTTTGCTCTTGTTAGTATCAGGAATTAGCTGGGGTGCCTGGATGGCTCAGTCAGTTAAGTGTCCGTCTCTTGGTTTCAGCTCAGGTCATGATCTCACAGTTTGTGAGTTCAAGCTCCACATTGGGCTCTATGCTGACAATGTAGAGCCTGCTTGGGATTCTCTCTCTCTCTCTCTCTCTCTCTCTCTCTCTGTCCCTCCCCGACTTGTGAGCTCATGTTCTCTCTCTCTCTCTCTCTCTCTGTGTGTTTCTCTCTCTCTCTGTCTCTCTGTCTCAAAAATAAATAAACTTTTTTTTTTCAAGTTAGACTGTGGGAGAATGAAGCAACTTTCTGGATTGATCAGGATGATTTGAGATTCTGAAATATTGGCACCCACGAGGAAATTCTTTATTTTCTAAGAAATAACATTTCCCTTATTTCACTTTTTTCTCTTAAAGCACACACACACCAAACATATACATGGATGCTCTGTAAAAGTAGCTATCTTTGGAAATGCAAAATGAAAGTGCTGGAATAAGTATGGTAGCTAGTGACCAGCAGTGCTTAGGAATGGATAGAGAGATATCGATGGAGACAAGGTGGTGTTCGAAATATTAACAATCAGGCAGACACCAGCCATACTGCTGAAATAGTGTATACTGTTGTCTCCTTTGGTTGCCAGATGTGGAGAGGTCAGCCAAGGTACTGTGGTTCCTCAGGGTGCTCAGATAGCAGCTACTTACCAATCAGTAATGAAGAATTATGTATTTTAACAACTGAACCAGCTTCACCCAAGTAAACTGGCTGTATGTCAGCCCTGGGTAAGGGCTTCTCCTTTCTTGCCTCTGTCAGTTGCCAGTGTCTGCCAGTCTTGCCACAGTTCAACCATGTCTCTTCAGTCTTCCAAAAAAGAAAAATTATGTTTACAGTGGAGTCACATTATACTTATGTTTGATTGTCATTTGCAAATTCAGCTATGCGCACTCAGAAGAAAAAGAAGAGGAAGAAGTAATGATTTAAATATTTTGGTCCAGTTCCACCCACCATTTACATGTCCTCGTTAAGTGTGAAGTAGGAGTTGTTTATCTGCTCCTTGCCCAGTTTGCGTTTTACAGCGTGAGCATCTTGCTGCATGAAGTGTGGTTCTGGATTTAAACACACACACACACACACACACACACACACACACACACACACACACAGCTTTTATGTGCCAATATGTACATCTTGTACCTAAATGAAGAAATAGCAGTTTGTTTTGAAGATGGAAGAAAAACTGTTTTGAGTTGCTTGAATTTATCATATTGAGAGAATATGTTAATGCTCCAGTACTCTAGCACATTCTTGCCTTTCCTAATGTAAATTGAAAGTGATTTTGACACTATATAATTTGAAAATATAAGATTAAGATGTGTATTAAAATCTTTTTATTATTTAAGGAAATAATTTTTTCTTATTATAAAGGTAATGCATGTTCACTGTAAAAAAAGAAAACGTAAGGGACAAAATCTTTTAAAATCCTGCCACCTGAGGATATCTAGTATTAATATTTTGGAATACTTTATTCTAATTTAACCCCTTGAGTATAAACATGTATACATTTGTTTGCTTTACTAGCAGAATCGGTATTATAGCTGTGTCATAGTCAAAAGCAGGCACCAGCATTTGGGACAACATGTCTTGAATAATGATTTAGACCATAGTTAAAATTCTTTTAACTAGAAATAATGTTTAATTGGTAAACCACGTTTTTCTTACATCATTAGTATTGAAAGTGGGGAAAACTATAAGCTTCTCTATACCAGCCATGTAAACTAGGAGGCTCAGGGAGGGTAAGAGTAGGCCTGGGAAGGGAAGTAGTGTTTGTACGTGCCAGGCATATGTCGGTGTTTTGCTAATATCGTTTCACTTATTCTTTATAACAGTCTGTAAGATGCCAGTAATTGTATTTCTATTTTACATGTGAAGAAAAAGAATCTAAGAGAGATTTAATGATTTCTCCTAGGTAGTAGAATTAATAACTCAAGGAACTGAAACTGACTCCAGTGCACAATCCTTCCCTTTGTCACAAAGCCTGGGTGGGTCTTCACTCCTACTGGGTCAGAACTAACTGAGGTGAACTTATCCCAGAAAAAGTTGTTTCACCTGCTTTGTATCTATGGCACCTAAAACAGTTATTTAAGCAATAAGAGGAGAGGAATGCTAATTTATAAAGAATACCATAGGAGACTTTTTAGCATTTAAATTTGAAAATATCTAACAGCAACATTTTCAGCTTCTACTCAGGGTATAAAAATGGTCTGAAGGCTTCATGTGACAGAATATGGCCTGGGAGATACCTACAGTGTGGTAATGTGGTAGGATGAGGTCAGATCTCCATTTTAAAACCCTGCTCTGAGCAATTTGCCAGATTCTTCAGGGCTTCAGTTTTCTCATCTATAATCAGAGTAGATTTGAGCAAATATATCTGAGCCCAGTTCCAACTCTGCAGTTCTGTGTTTGGTTTTTGAATAAGTTCTGTTACAAATAGATTCCAAATACCAGAATGAGATCCAGAGGTGAAGCCTATACGCTAGGTATGATATAAAAAGCCCGAATCATTTTCTTTCAAAGCCAAGTTTTAACATTCTGCAAAAACAGTTGTCTTAGAGTGTCCAAAAATTTAACTATCATGAAAGGAAAAAAAGGCTGGAGAACTATTCTAGACTAAGGCAGACTGAAGTGACATATAACTAAATACAGTGGCTAATCCTTAATTGATCCTGGATTGCAGTGGGAAATAGTCATATTGGGACAATTGGGAAAATTTGGACACAGACTTTGAGAACAATATTGTATTGAATATTCAGATTCCTAAATGTGATCATTATATTTGGTTGTGTAAGAGAATGCCTCAGTCCTTAGTACATACATGCTCAAGTATTTAGCAATGAAACATTAAAATGTCTGCAGATAATTCTGAAGTGATTCAGTCAATTTTTTTTAATGTTTTATTTATTTTTGAGAGAGTGCACAGAGGGGAGGAACAGAGAGAGGGGAACAGAGGATCTGAAGCAAGCCCTGCACCGATAGCATTAAGCCTGATGTGGGACTTGAACCCACAAACCGCGAGATCATAACCTGAGCCAAAGTTGGATGCTCAACTGACTGAGCCACCCAGGTGTTCCAGTCAATATTTTTTTAGTACATAGAGTGGGAGTGAGGATGGAAGGAGAGAGGAATATGACAGAGAAGAGAAGGAGAAAGGAAATGTAACAAAATGTTAAGCATTGTTAAAACTGGATGAGGAATAATACATGGGTAATTATTATATTCTTGCAACTTTTCTGTAGGTTTGAAATGTTTTAAATTAAGAAGTTGTAGGTTTGAAAAAAAGAGGTTTTAGGTATTTAAAATGACAACAAAGGTGCAAGTACCCTTCTAATTACCTACTTTTGTGATTTTGATCTCCTGCCACAGCTCTGTGCACTCATTTATTCTACAAGCACATAATTGTGCAGGTAGTATACCACCCACTCCTGGCTTGATCAGGGTTTTTGTGTCCACATTTTGCAGTTGACCAGAGTTGATTGCATTAAGTACTGGGCCATAGTTCATTTTCCTGGAGATTTGGAGGGAGCCAACTCCTTTTAAGGAGATCGGCCTGTGGAACATTAGTCCCGGACTCTTACCTCTCAAGTACTTCTTAGGACCAAGAGAGGGGGGAAAAGTTTTCTTAAAGGAGATGATATTTAGGTGGAATTTTTTAACTTTTATTATTTTCTTGTTACACAAAAATGATATTCATATATGCTGTGGAAAGATTAGGAAATTGACTGGCAAAATTTTTAAAAATATGTATTTGGGGGCTCCTGGGTGGCTCAGTCAGTTGAGTGTCCAACTCTTGGTTTCGACTCAGTTCATGATCTCACAGTTCATGAAATCAAGCCCTGAGTCACGCTCTGCAGTGACAGCCCAGAACCTGCTTGGGATTCTCCTTCTCCTTCTCTATCCGTCCCTAGCTAGCATGCTGGCTTTCTCTCTCTCTCTCTCTCTCTCTCTCTCTCTCTCTCTCTCTCAGAATAAATAAATAAATTTTTTAAAAAAGTGTAAACCTTCTCTGTTTCAGAACCCAGAAGTAACCATCTGTGTTGATATTTTATTTTTAAATTTGTTAATGTTTTTATTTATTTCTGAGAGAGAGAGAGAGAGAGTATGAACAGGGAGGAGCAGAGAGTGGGAGACAAATTATCTGAAGCAAGCTCCACCCTGACAGCAGAGAGCCCTATGCGGGGTTTGATTTAACTCACAAACCGTGAGATCGTGATCTGAGCTGAAGTCAGATGCTTAACCAACCGAGCTACCCAGTCTTGATATTTTTAAAGTGGAGGACTGACTTGGTCAGATTTGCATTTTAGGAATATTTCACTCTGAATGGGACTGGAGTTTGGGAAACCAGGTGACTGGCTTCACAGCAGTCAGAAGAGAGGTGATAAAGGCCTGAGCAAGGTTTTGGCTGTGGATATGGAAGAAGGAGTAGATTACATTTAAGATAATGTGAATTGAAGAGGATACTTCCTGCAGAATAAAAGGAAGTCCAAGGTGCCTTCCAGGTTTTGTCTTGAGTAACTCAGTGAGATTGTCCAAAAGAGAAGAGGATCAAGCGGAGAGAATTTGCTGACTCAGATAGACTCAATTCCTTCAGAATTTTGATGGAGGAACTTTCAAAGCTTCTGTCAGACAAAGGAGAAAGGATCAGACATGCAGATACTAGCCAGGTGTTGTGAGAGAGACTGTGAGGGCCATAAGGCAGAAGTGAGAGACTGGTCAGCTCTTGGAGCTGCTTCAGATTCTGACAACCTCTCTCGTTCCCATTTCTGAAGAGGATGGCATGGAAAGAAAGAATTTGCTTGTTTGACAGAGGCTGCAGAGACATTGCTGGTTACATGGAAGGGTTAAAGATAGAAGCAGAGAGGGGGTAATTAAGGAAACAAGATTTTGGAAGTGATGAGTTATAGAGAGCATGGCCTTAGACCCTGAGGAAAGGCACATCATCTCCTGAACTGGAAGGAGAGGAAGAAAGAAAGAATGGGCAAATTGCGCACACACACACACAAATGTTTTGAGAGAGACCCACAACAAGGAATGATAAAACATGTCACAGGTTAACATCTAGGAAGGAACAAAGACATGAAAACCCTTTTATAGGAAGTTTCATGTAAACTATTTTACATTAGATGTTTCTTAATAAAAGTTTTTTTCTATAAAAAATTCTATGTATATCAACCCCTTTTTAAAAATAGCACTTACCTTTTAATTTAGTTGTCTCACCCATTTTCATTTTATCAAGGCAACCAGATATCCTGACATTTTAGAGCTACCTAACATGTAAGCTTTTCAAAATGTCTGGCCAAAGTGTAATTATCTTTGCACTTGAAGCTAACTTTACTTAAATCAGAAGAATGGTGGCTAAAATAGTTCTTAAAAGAATTTTAATGGATGTTTCTGCGGTCTGTGTATTTGTTTGAGTTTGTGACATGGTGAGGGGAAAACGTCCTTACACCACCGAAAAGAAGTGCAGTTGTTTGCCAAGTATAACATTCGTTTTCAAGTATGTCATTTTTCACTAAGCATAGCAAACTAGTCTTAAATTTTAGGTTGTTGTTGCTGCCTCAAGTAAAATTAGTGAATTTTCATTTTGAGTTTACCACCTCATTTCCTTTTGTCATTTTTGGTTAGTTACACCTGGTTTTTTGACCTCTCCACCCACAAGAATCTCAGCTGGAAAAGATGCCCTCCCTGTGCTGAAGCATGTTTCTTTCTCTGAAGACCACCTTTCTCCTTGTTTACCACTGGTATGCATATCTCTTACAGACACTCCCAACACAAACCCAGCCTGTCTCTCTGACACCGATTTCCCTAGGATGTCACTCGTCATGTGCTCCCTGCAGTCAGATTTCTCCTCCCCCACTCCACTTATATATATGGTTCCTCGCCAAAGCCCACTGCTGGGGACAATCTCAAATCTCCCATCTATCCTGTCATAAGGTCTAGGTTCTGAATTCCCCCAAATTCTTAGGATTTCTCACATTTTCAAGGAACACCACCAAAGGCTCCCATATATTTTCTTTTGGACACACTTAAATTCTCATTCTCAGATAAAAGGACCCTCAACCACCAAGCCATTCACTTCATGAGATCCTTGTTCAAGGATTTTATATGTCTATGCTTATGTTTGTATTTCTGTTTATGCAGACATATGTTGAGCATTGCCCTCTACTACAGATGCAACTCTCAGAACATAGTCTTTCAGGCCATCTAATGCTTACCTGTTGCTTTTTTGGATCAAAACCTCACACCAAAGGGGTGCCTGGGTGGTTCAGTTGGTTGAGCGTCCGACTTTGGTTCAGGTCATGATCTCGCGGTTTGTGAGTTCGAGCCCCGTGTTGGGCTCTGTGCCGACAGCTCAGAGCTTGGAGCCTGCTTCAGATTCTGTGCCCACCCCCCTCCACCCCACCCCTGCTTGTGCTCTGTCTTTCTCTGTCTTTTAAAAATGAATAAACATAAAAAAAAACCTCTCACACCAAATATTCTTTTTCACATCCTTCTAAGATCTTTTCTAAAGCAACATCTCTTCAGCTATCTCTCACCGTCATCTTAAGTTTCATCAGATAATGCTTGATTGTTCCCATATAGGATCTCTAATTTTTTATATTTTTATTTAGTTTGCCTAATATTTCCCCCCCCCACCCCCACCCCTCGCCCCAAATATACCAATTTTCTATTCAGCCTTTTTTGGACACAGTGTTGTAATATCAAGAGCCCATTTTTCAACATAGGTTTATGGCAAACATGAAAAATTTAGTAAAGGTTTATCTTTTCTGTTTGGAATACAATTACATGTTTTGTAAAGAAAACCATGATTATCAGGCCTCAGGAAAATTTTATGAAGAATTTCTCCCCTCCTACTTTCAATACAGACTACTGCTGATCTTGACCTAGTTTCTGTTTACCTTAAATATATACATATTGATGAATTTAGACCTCATGTCTCTTTTCTACTCAATACCATAAATCTGAGATTTATTTTAGAAAAGATGTTTATTTAACTAAATCCACGTTAGGTAGACAGAGATGGTGCCCCTGAAATGCCACAGACAGACAATTACAGATAAGCAAAATGGAATACAATCATAAATAGTCCCTCCTTGCTAACAAAAAAGGACATTTTTCTTTTGGAAGGTTTTATTCATCAGGACAAATTTATTGTATAGTCTAATACTAACAATAATTAGATGGGCTGGTGTGATTATGAATGAGTTTTTAAAAATAATATGCGTAATATTTTTTATGAAAACATATAAATATATAAAGCTCACTTTTAAAAAGAATGACTACATATGTTGGTATTCATCATGTATTTAAAGTTGGCCTTAAAAATGGTAACTCAATAAATTATTAAAAATTAGAGATTATTTATTACTATCTTGATATATTACTATCTTGATAATAGCTTTTAAAGATTTCCCCTCAAAATATAACTTAATGTGTACAATTTTATCTGCTTTTAAATATTGGCTAGACATTCCCCCTGCTTTATTTGGGTTTGATTGACAAAAATTGTATATATTTAGGTTGTGCATGATTTCTTTTAAAGGATGCAGTGTGATGATTTAATATACATATTAAAGTATGTTGAGCAGACTTCTTTATTCTTGATCAAGCATGAATTTATCGTCTGACTTCAAATTTAACCTAATTTTAAAAGAGTCATTACACTTTAATGTTTAAATTTGAAACTTTATGGATTATTACAGTTAGAATATCCTGTTTTACTCATCTGTATTCTGATAAGATTTTAAACACAGGAATACTTTGTGGTTATATAGTTTATGATGATGTCCTTACTATACCAAATTAGCTATCTCTAGTGAAAACTTCTTTTAGTCAAGATACACACTGGTGCTTCTTTAAAATGAATGAGTTATCTTTGGCCAACTCATGGCCAAACTCAACTATCTACATCTCCTTTTTCAAGGAAAGGTAATTGAGAAGTGGAAGCTTCCTTTCAGCAACTGGAATATGGATGACCACATTCTGGCTCTTACCAATCTTGTCAACCATGAAAATAAAACTGTCTTGATAAAACTGATAATCTTCTCAAGGTCATGGTCCGAGATCCAGTACATTGATAGTTTTCCTCGGTCTTTATTTTTAAAAAAATTTTTTTAACATTTATTTATTATTAAGAAACAGAGAGAGACAGAGCATGAGCATGGGAGGGGCAGAGAGAAGGGGAGATACAGAATCTGAAGCAGGCTCCCGGCTCTTAGCTGCCAGCACAGAGCTCAACACTGGGCTCAAACCCATGAGATCATGACCTGAGCCCAAGTCGGACACTTAACCAACTGAGCCACCTAGGCGCCCCTCCTTGGTCTTTAATTTAAAGGACCTCAAAGAATGTCTAAGAAAAATGTTTGACTATCACCTCGCTTGAAAGGAAAGCTAATCTGGTTTTATGAAGTTCCTTTTAATCCTAAATCTTCTTTTTTCCCTTCTCCAGATGAATCAGTGCTATCAGCATTCATAGTAATAGTGTTGCTGTTTTTGAAATTATGAGATCATATGAATTCTTGTTTTTCCATGGCATTTCCTTTTGTTGTCAGTAACTTAGAATACAGTGACTAAATAAATGAATTTTTGTACACGTAATTATAAATTCTTACTCAATAAATATTTGTAATAATATGTGCTAGGCTAGGAGCTAGAGATAGAAATGTAAATAGACTACATAGTCCCTTCCGTAAAGAGCTCACATTCTAGGATGTTATTTAGATATACTGTGTGTACCTGAATATATATGCATGTACAGACCCTTTTTTGTGAAAACTGCAGCTGACTTTCCCTTGTTGAAAAATCAACACATTGTTTAATTGTTAAAGGTAAAACTGACATTTGAGAATGCATATGCTGTGAAAAAGGAAACAACTCAACCAAAACAGAAAAAGACACAGTCGAACACAAGTGATTTAGTCAAACTTCTGTGGGGAGAAGAGGTTGAAGGGATCCAGCAAAATATCCTAAACACTCCTCACATCGTTATCTATCTCACACTACAGCTTGACTCAGAAACATCAAAGGAAGAGGTGAGTGCCTTCTCAAAAGTGCAAAGGAAAAGAATAAGTCTTTTCCTTTTATAGTCTTCCAGGTGAATAATAAGCACTTTTTTCAGTCATTCTGTGTCTTTATGGTTTTGGTATGTCTCTTACACAATCTTCTAATTGACAAACCTAATTAGTCCATTTATAGATTACTGAAATATTTGAATTTGTTTCTACCATCTTCTTTAAAAATTTCTATTTGAACTACTTTTTCCATAATATTTTCTTACCTGTTATTGGTTGCTGTAGTCTTTATTTCTATTTTTTTAGTAATTGCTCTTAAAATTTTGTCATGTTTATTTTAGCAGACTCGAAAGCAGTACCTTAACTCTTTTTTAAAATAATTCAAGGCCCTTGGTACACCTTAATTCCAATTTCCCCTCTTCACATACATGCTATTTTCCTCAGTATTTTCATGCTATCACTTTTTAAAAAATTCCAGAAATTGGGTGTAATTATACTGGTGTTACTACTATTAATTATTGTGACATTTTATATATTATAAAATATGTAAGTAATGCATTATAAAAATGCATATTTTATACATTGTATTCCATACAAATGGACCTTCTTTAAATTTACATAAATGCTTACCACTTTCTTTACTATCTTTCTTCTGTCTCTAGCTGTCCTTATTTGATCATTTTTCTTCTTCTTAAGACATATATTTTAGGTATTTCTTTTTAGTAAAAGTCTCTTGATGATAAATACTTTTTGTTGTTATTTATCTGATGATGTTGTTTTCACCTCCTCTTGAAAGGTGCTTTATAATTATTACTACATTGTGTTAGTCAAAATAGGCCAATCGTTGTAGCAACTCTGATGTCTTAGTGGCTTAACATAGTAGTTTGTTTCTTATTTCAATATAAATGTTCCTGCTCATGTTGCTCGGTGGTCAGAGCCCTTCATCTAGTGGTTCCATGATTTCCAAAGGCTTCAGAGCCGTAGATCATTTTGCATCTAGTTCAACAATGAAAGAAGAGAGAAAGCATTTAATATCTCATGGGACATTTCCGAGTCCTAGCTTAAAAATTAGAACATCACTTCTGCCCATGTTCCAGTGTCTAGAACTAGTCTCTCCCAATGCAAGGAGGTAAGAAAATGTAGTTTTTCTGTGTGGCTGAGAAGAAGATGAAGTTAACGCATACTATTGCTTATTTCATTCAGGTAGAAAGTTATTTTCTCTACTGGTAGTCTTGTCTTAGTGATTTTATACTTTATTTCTGTAAGTATTTCATGTATATTCTGTGTTCTTCTGTATCCTTTATCTGCCCATTCTACCAACTCTGAGTCCTCTACGTCCTAAGACTTGTGGTGGTTTGCCTTCTTGTGTCCTTGGTGATCACTGACTAAACTTAACTGCTTGATTTTTATCTTTGGGAGTCCTGTGGTTTAAAAGTGGGAATGCCTTCCTCCAGAGAGAATTTGCTGCTTCTGCTTCTGCCACTGACCTAGGGTACTTCAGCCTTACTCAAGAATCCGGGTTTAACACAATGGTGCTAAGTTCAGCTTACCTACCTAGCCACTAGCTCAATACTCAGTGTCCTGACTGACACTATTGTAGGCATCAACCCTCAAAGCAGCCCTGCCTCTGTCCTTCGGCCCACCACTCACCACTCCCACCACTCCCAGAACTTTGCAGTTCTGGGAAGGGGCTTGAAAGGGTATGGAGAAGATGTCCTTCTTATATATCTAGCAGTTCAACAAGTTATGTTCGAGCCATAACTCTACTTGTTTTACAGCGTAAGGGTCTCTCAAAGCATCTAGTTTACCATAATGCTTCAAGCACAAGGGAGATCTAAAAAGTTTTTACCTAATTTACATTTCTTTGCTTTTGAAATCCTTGCAGCCTATATTCTCATTGCCAAAGCCATTTTATCCAAGGAGTGTTTCCTCATCTTGCTTCTTCTTTTTTTTTTAAATTTTTTTCAAAAGTGTTGCTTCTTTGTATATCAAAATTTAGTCAATAATTGAAATGGAAAAGAAAGGATTTACTTATGTGTATTTTTTATAATTTTCTGTGTTCTGAAAACAGAAAAACCTAAAGTTAATTATTCTGATTTCTTGCATGTATTACTAGTTAAATGAGAAATTTAACCATTTATTATATAAAAACACACAACAAAATCCTGGGATGCTAACACTCTGAAACTTTCTAGGTCATCCTGGAGTAGAATACTGCTGAGGCCTTTTGTCATCTTTGCCTTTCTTTCCATGGGAAAGTGTGTAGACGTCTCTCAAATGAACAAGTTTCTGTCTGTTGACAGCCTTGTATCAACACTGTAATTAGGAGAGGCTTTTTATTCTTACTGAACAGAGTGGAAGCTGCTGCAAATGCATGCCACTAACAAGTGCCTAAAAAGACAGCTAATTAAACTGGTTAGAAACTGTTGAGTTTGCCAGGTCCTTAACAGTGAGGCTTTCTGGGCTGGTTGCTGCAGAGGTTGGAATAGAGACTTTTTCAAATGACTTTTTTTACTAATATGACTTAGCATACAATAAAATGTCATAGGGTCATTAAGTTTTCATGTGAGTTACATAGTTAATAACTTGTATTCTCCAAGTTATAAGATTTGAAAATTTCAAAAACTTAATCAAAGAGTATATGGTTATTTGTTTAAAGTGGTGTTTGGTATTTGACCGAATGCAATAAGTGTATTTACTAGTCAAGGTTTAACTTTACTAAGTAAGCATAACAGAAGAGCTTAACTGATGTTTGGCTTAATTTTTAAAGATAGGATTTTTGTAACTGTTTTACAGTAGAAATATTGCAAGAAAATTTGAGGGTTAGGCAGAGTGTATTTGGCCAACATATTCTATAGCAATTTGCATATATTGAATGTGCTTAATAAGTATAAAAAAAGGTGTGTCCAGTTTATTAATTATTTGTATTTGTCATGATGTAAAAGTTGCCAAGACATGGACTCTAAGTCACATAATTATTTCTTGTAACGAGAGATCAAAATAAGATGTAGAACACTCTTTAGAGAGAGGATCAAGGGAAAGATCCAAGTTAGGAGTTTGGCTTTTCAATAGTGACTGTATTAATATTTACAGATATTAAATATTAAATAGCATAACTGGGAGCTACTTTGAATTCTCTATGATTTCATATAGAAATTTTTATTTTGCCTGCTTTTAATTTAACCTGTGAGGAAAATAGCATGTTGTTTTAACAACAGAAAAGTGAGGTACAGAATGATTCATTCCTTTGTGTAAAAGGTCTAGCACAATGCCTATCCTGATTTTGAAATTTATTTTATTTTATGAAAACTGTTTGTTTCTTGGGAACATGCTTTTCTTGAAAGCAAAAAAATATATATTAAGCATTTTGTGAATTATCTTATAGATCTAGTTTTTCCATAATTTAAAATGTGCTTTCTTTTAAAGTTTAATTTGTGGTGGGCAAACCCTTTTACATTTAAGACAGATAAGATATTATAATATCATAATACTGCTTTCTCTCTACTTGCACTACTTTCATTTTGTATTCTTACTTTGTAAATTTAATTGTAGTACCGTCTTATGTTTGAATAAGGATTTAATGATTTCACCAAAGATGATGATTATCTTTTAAATGTCAGTAATGAAAGTAATTAAAATTAAAGACTCTTACAAGTTACATGTGGTATCCATACAGATACACTACCACAGGAGATCAGAAAATTTGAGTAATCAAATATAATAAAATATTATTATTAGAATTTATTGTAAAGGAGATTAAAGTTTAAAACATTGAAATTAATTGTAATTATTCTAACTAATGAGTGTCCTACTCAGTATATATTTTGGTATTATGACCAATTTTGACAGTTTGTAACTGACTTCCAAATGTAGTGTTTTAAATACTAGGTAATGTGTTAAAATTCCAGACATACTTCCTTTCTTGTGTTTGTTTGAATGAAACTTCCCCTGAAGCTGAAAGGATTCATTTTTTTGTTCTTTTCTTAATAGTACAAAGCCTGAAGTTTCCATGACAAAAGTAATGGTTGGAAAATTTGCAGGGGAGGGGGGGTTGATCACTTCTCTTTCTTTTCATTTAACAGCAGGAAATTCTTTATCATTATCCAGTTTCTGATGCATCTCAGAAACTGAAAAGTGTGAGAGGGATATTTCTCACACTCTGTGACATGTTGGAAAATGTAACTGGGACTCAAGTTACTAGGTAAGAATTGATTTTTATTTAGCTTTTATTCTATTTCTTGCAAGTTCTGTACCTTGGTTCTGACAAAATACTAATACAAGTACTATTATACAAATATATTTGTATCTATAATGTAGATATCTACATAGCAGATATGATGTCTGCAGATATTTTGTTTCTTACCTAACATTTCTACTGGTCACCTATAAGGTGTAAGTTCTCAATACAGCTGTAGATCTGGGTGTTTGGCATACTTTAAATAACAAATTTGGACTAATGACATATTGTAGCATTTATTCATGAAGGTGGTATTTCTTAAGCATGACATTATGTTGAGTCTGGGCTCTTTCATGTTTTTGTCTTGATTATTAATTTGCTAGGCAATACTCCTGTGGTTGGTAAGAATGACTGAACACTGCATTTTTCATGTAGTTCAAAATAGTCTGTTCTACAACAATGACAGAAAAAAACACAATACACATACACTTTAAGAAGAGGAGCCAGAATGTTCCTTGTATCATCTGTGCAAGTTAACTTGATGAATAAACAAGACTGATGTGAAATAATTTTTTGAAAAATAAAATATACCATATACTCAGTTATAGAGCCACACATCCCATTCAAAGTCGATTTAGTAAGCCCTGACTCTGAAATGCCACAGTTAACTTATGGGAGGAGGATGCTCAAAACTTGGTTGAGTTTTGTTTTTTGTTTTTTTAATAAAATAAATCTAGGGATTACAAACCATTTTTCTTTCTTAATATTTCAAAAGTTTTAGAAATATAAAGTTGGATTTTCTAAGGAACTTTTCCCATCTTTTGGTAAAAATGACACCTCTAAGATTCTAAAAGATAAGATCTGCGGGATAATAGCAAGAAGAATTTCCTTGTTTTCTAAATAAAAGTCATGTTTAATTCTGGGACTCATTTTCCAGACACTAGTAACTGAGGCTATATTTAATATATAAATTTGCATTCAAAATCACATGTTGAGTAAAATCATATGGTATTTGTCTTTCTCTGACTTATTTCACTTATCATAATACTCTAGCTCCATATATGTCATTGCAAATGGCAAGATTTCTTTTTTTTATGGCTGAGTAATATTCCATTGTGTATATATATACCACCTCTTCTTTATCCATTCATCAGTCAGTGGACATTTAGGCTCTTTCCATAATTTAGTTGTTGTAGATAATGTTGCTTGTAGATAATGTTGCTATAAACACTGAGGTGTATATATCCCTTTGAATTAGTGTTTTAGTAATCTTTGGGAAAATACTTAGTGCAATTGCTAGATGGTAGGGTAGTTCTATTTTTAACTTTTTGAGGAACTTTCCTACTGTTTTCCAGAGCATCTGCACCAGTTTGCATTCCCCTCAACAATGCAAGAGGGTTCCCTTTTCTCTGCCAGCACCTATTGTGTCTTGTATTGTTGGTTTTAGCCATTCTGATAGGCATGAGGTCATACCTGATTATAGTATTGATTTGCATTTCCCTGGTAATGAGTGATGTTGAACATCTTCTCATGTGTCTGTTGGCCATCTGTATGTCTTCTTTGGAAAAATGTCTATTCATGTCTTCTGCCCATTTTTTTAGTTGGATTATTTGTTTTTTGGTCGTTGAGTTTTATAAGTTCTTTATGTATTTTGGATACTAACCCTTTATCAGATACGTAATTTGCAAATATCTCCTCCCATTCCATAGATTGCCTTTTAGTTTTGTTGACTGTTTCCTTCACTGTGCAGAAGCTTATTTTGATGATGTCCCAGTAGTTTATTTTTGCTTTTGTTTTCGTTGCCTTAGGAGACATATCTAGAAGTAAGTTGCTACAGCCAATGTCAAAGAAGTTACTCCCTGTGTTCTCCTTTAGGATTTTAATGGTTTCCTGTCTCACATTTAGATCTTTCATCCATTTTGAGTTTATTTTTGTGTATGGTGTAAGAAAGTGGTCAGTTTCATTCTTCTCCATGTTGCTGTCCAGTTTTCCCAACACCATTTGTTGTTGAAGAAACAGTCTTTTTTCCCATTGGATATTCTTTTTTTCCTCTTTGTTGGAGTTTAATTGACCATATAGGTTTGGGTTTGTTTCTGGTTTTTCTATTCTGTGCCGTTGATCTATGTGTCTGTTTTTATGCCTATACCAAACTGTCTTGATCACTACAGCTTTGTAATAAAACTTAAAGTCTAGAATTGTGATGTCTCTAGCTTTGCTTTTCTTTTTCAAGATTACTTTAGGGGTGCCTGGGTGGCTCAGTCTGTTAAGCGTCCGACTTCGGCTCAGGTCATGAACTCACGGTCCGTGAGTTTGAGCCCTGTGTCGGGGTCTGTGCTGACAGCTCAGCAAGACCTTGTCTTGTTCCTGACCATAGAGGCAAATCTCTCAGTTTTTCCCCACTGAGGATGATATTAACTGCAGGTTTCTCATATAAGGCCTTTATTATATTGAGATATGTTCTCTATAAACCTGCTTTGTTGAGGATTTTTATCATGAGTGAATGTTGTACTTTGTCAAATGCTTTTTCCTCCTCTATTGAAGTGATATTTTTAAATTTTTATTAATGTGGTGTGTCACGTTGATTGATTTGCAAATATTGAACCTCCCTTGCAACTCAGGAATAAATCCCACTTGATTGTGGTGAATGATTTTTTTGTAATGTTTGTTTATTTTTGAGAGAGAGAGAGAGAGAAAGAGAGAGAGAAAGAAAGGGGGGAGGGGCAGAGAGAAAGAGGGACAGACACTGACATCAGCGAGCCCAATGTGGTGCTTGAACCAATGAACTGGGAGATCATGATCTGAGCCAAAGTCAGACACTCGACCAACTGAGTTGAGGCAACGCAGGTGCCCCATGAATGATTTTTTTAATGTGTTGTTGGATTCAGTTTGCTAGTAGTTTATTGAGAATTTTTGCATACACGTTCATCAGAGATATTGGCCTAATGTTCTCTTTTTTAGTGGAGTCTTTATCTTTGCAACAACACAGATGGAGCTAGAGAGTATTATGCTAAGCTAAATAAGTCAGAGAAAGACAAATACCAAACGATTTCACTCATATTTGGAATTTAAGAAACAAAACAAGTTAGCAAAGAGAAAATAAAATGAGAGAGCTAGGCAAACTAAGAAACAGACTTTTAACTATAGAGAACAAACTGCTGGTTACCAGGTGGGAAGTTGGTGGGAGAATAGGTAAAATAGATGATCGGGATTAAGGAATGCACTTGCTGTGATGAACGCTGGGTGATGTATGGAAGTGTTGAATCACTGTATTATACACCTGAAACTAATATTACGCTGTATGTTTAATTGGAATTTAAAGGATTTTTAAAATTTATTTTATGTCTTTATAAATAGTTATTTAATTTTGAGAGAGACACAAAGCACAAGTGGAGGAGAGGCAGAGAGAGAGGGAGAGAGAGAATCCCAGCAGGCTCTGAGCTGTCAGTGAAGAACCCGACACATTGCTCGATCCCACGATCGACAAACAATGAGATCATGACCTGAGCTGAATCAAGAGGTGGACACTTAACCATCTGAACCACCCAGGAGCCCCAACTAACTGGAATTTAAATAAAACTTAACAAAAATTTAAAAAATATAATGATAGTAATGCCTGAAGACGATGTTAAAAAGATTAAAAAATATAATGTCTAGCAAATAGTATGCACTTGATTATAATAAAAAATAATAACAATAACAAATAGTATGTATTAAACATTAGAGAAAAAAATTAAAATAATGATATGAAAAAATATGTTGCAGGCCTCCTTTTATTTTTTATTTTTACTTTTTAAATGTTTCTTTATTTTTTTTGAGAGAGAGAGAAAGAGGATGCCCATAGGGAGGGGCAGAAAGAGAGAGGGAGAGAGAGAATCCCAAGCAGGCTCCATGTTCAGCATGGCGCCCAGCACAGGGCTCAATTTCACGACCATGAGATCACAACCTGAGCCAACATCAAGAGTCAGTTGCTTAACTGACTGAGTCACCCAGGTGCTCTCCTTTTATTTTTTTTAAACAGCTTTATTGAGACATCATTCATTTATCATACAATTTGCCCATTTAAAGCGTACAATTTGGCAACCATCACCACAGTCAATTTTAGAATATTTTCATGATACCCAAATAAAAACCTATACTGGACATTTCATGTGAATGAAATCATAATACATGCTTATTTATGACTGGCTTCTTAGGATAATGTTTTCAAATTCAGGCCTCCTTTTTAATCTTATTGGAAAGAAATTTTGTTTTAAGTTTCTCCATGTGGATTTGATTTTTTCTTTTTACTCTAAAGGATAGATGTTATTTTACTTGATGTTTAGATCTTGTTATTAGTGATAAGTTATGGATTAAACATGTGGAAAACAGTAAATGTAGGTAGAAAAACTTTTTTGTAAACAGTAAATATGAAAATGATTATTATTTCAGGGATTCCTTAGCAACATGTACGTCTTGTATACACAGTTTTAAAACTATAGTGATATTAATGTCTGAGTATAAAAAGAATCTAATATTTGTCAAAAAGCATATATATTTTTAAACTTTATTAAGACAAAAGTAATATTTCTTTTGAAAAAAATCTATTTAGCAATTCATGTTTAAAATCCCACACACTTATCTCTATTGTAGTATAGAATATACATTATATTCCAAGGACTCAACCAATGAAAACTGATGTGTGTATTCTCACTTAAAGAAAAAAAAATACTAAAGAAAAAAAAAGGAAGGGGTACATCTAGGCGACTTAGTCAGTTAAGTGTCTGACTCTTGATTTTGGCTAAGGTCATAACCTCATTGTTCGTGAGATCAAACCCCCCATCGGGCTCTGTGCTGACAGCGCGGAGCCTGCTTGAGGTTCTCTTTCTCCCTCTCTCTCTCTCTGCCCCTTCCCTGCTTGCACACATGCACATGCTCTCTCCCTCTCAAAAATCAATAAACTTTAAAGCAAAAACAAATACTGAATATATTTTCTTCACACCATCTACCCGCATTACAAGAAGGATCATACTCTGCTTTCATAGTTCTTTATTATATCTCTTTTTAGAACACATTTAATATGTTTTCCAACTTGATTGAAGTAGAGTAAATTGCATATATGTAAAATATACAATTTGATCAGTTTTGACAGAGGTGTATGACCCTGAGACCATTACCACAATGAATATATACATTATCCCAAAAGTTTCCTTGAGTACATGTTTAAATCTGACTTATATTTTGGTTCTTTGTTTAAGAACCACATGTTTACATGTGCCCCATATTGAATTATCACTTGTGAGCTGGAACCATGTTGTCCTTTCTTTGTAATTTCTCTTAATAAATAGAAATTTCTCTTAATAAATTCTCTTAATAAATAGGCAATCAGAAAAGATTTGGTAAATTAGCACAGTAATGGAAGCTTTCTTTTGGGAAAAAAATAATGTATAGTCACTTAATTTAGCAAAAGAATTTCAATACCTTTTACTGTAATGTGACTACTTTTGTTTGACCTGGAGCTTTTTATAGATATTTAAAAGAATATTTCAGAATACATTATTGTTGTTATACAATTCCTTGCCTTTTCTGTGTGACAGATAAATGCCAAGAAACTTGCTTATTAAGCATGCGGTTCTTAAATCATACCATGTGTAATCTTTTATGAGTGACTGTTTATAATTTTATGACATTAAAGATATTCTGACTTTATTTTCACTCTATTTTTTCTTAGCTCATCCCTTCTTTTAAATGGGAAACAAATCCATGTGGCTTATTGGAAAGAATCTGACAAGTTGTTGTTAATTGGCCTGCCTGCTGAAGAGTAAGTTGAGATCTTTGTTTACCTTAAAATCTTTTCTATATATTGCTAACAAAATCTGTTTCATTAAAAGTATGACATTTTTGTCAAAAGGCAAACTCCTTTAAACAGTCTTATGTTGGGGCACCTAGCTGGCTCAGTCTGGTTAAACCTCCAACTTCAGCTCAGGTCATGATCTCATGGTTGGTGGGTTTGAGTCCTACATCGGGCTCTGTGCTGTCAGCTCAGAGCCTGGAACCTGCTTCAGATTCTGTGTCTCCCTCTCTCTCAGACCCTCCCCTGCTTGTGCTCTGTCTCTCTCTCTCTCTCAAAAATGAATAAACATTAAAAAAAATTTTAATAAAAAAATAGTCTTATGTTTTAAATATCTGTTCCACTAGTGCAATAGCTACCTATGTTAATTTGATATTAAAAATATAAAAAGCGCTGGGAACACCCAGCTAGACCAATTAGTAAGAAGAAGGACTTTCAGCACACTTATGAGATGTGGCCAGTGTGAAGGTGGCTGAGAGATGACCTTCTCTGCTCAAACTTTTGACAAGATCGTGGTTTGGATTTTGTGTGTTAGTTTTTTTTTTTTTTTTCAACGTTTATTTATTTTTGGGACAGAGAGAGACAGAGCATGAACGGGGGAGGAGCAGAGAGAGAGGGAGACACAGAATTGGAAACAGGCTCCAGGCTCTGAGCCATCAGCCCAGAGCCCGATGCGGGGCTCGAACTCACGGACCGCGAGATCGTGACCTGGCTGAAGTCGGACGCCCAACCGACTGCGCCACCCAGGCGCCCCTGTGTGTTTGGTTTTTTACTGTTGGAGATTTTGGAAAATTAAAAGTCAAGGAAAAAGGTGTTTGGCCATGATGTTGAGCACCTTTGACAAAATACAGTTGACCCTTAAACAACATGGATTTGAATTGTGCTGATCCACTTATATGTGGGTGGTTTTCAATAAATATATTAGAAGGTTTTTTGGAGATTTGTGACAGTATGAAAAAGCTCACAGATGAACTACATAGTCTAGAAATATTGAAAATTTTGAGAAAAAGTTACATACGTCATGAATGCATAAAATATGTGTAGATACAGTCTGTTTTATCATTTACTACCATAAAATATACACAGATCTATTATTAAAAGTTAAAATTTATCAAAACTTAAACAAATACTTACATGGAGCTATTCGCAATTGAGAGAAGTGTAAACAAATGTAAAGCTGCATTATTAAATCATAACTGCATAAAATTAACCATAGCACATACTGTACTACTGGAATAATCTTATTGCTATCTCCTATTGTTGCTGTTGCAGTGACCTCAAGTGTTACCTACTTACAACCCCCCGTGACGTTAATCATCTCTGTGTGAGCAGTTTGTCTTTCCAGTAAATTGCAGTAAAAAGTGATTTCTTGCAGTTCTTGCATATTTTTCTTCGTGCAATAGTGTAAACCTTGAATAACACCGTGGGACCCATATGAAATGCCACTAGTAATGCTGGAAATGCTCCCAAGAAGCAGACAAAAGTTAGGACATTACAAGAAAAAGTTAAATTGCTTGATATGTACTATTGATTGAGATCTGCAGCTGCAATTGGCCACCATTTCAACATAAATAAATCCTGCATGAGGGCCATTGTAAAAAAGGAAAGGAAATTCCTGAAGCAATCACTACAGTTAGGCCAGCATGTGCAAAAACATTGCACTTTTTGTGAAAAGATCTTTTTATCTCGTATTGAAAAAGCAATTTTTATGTAGGTGCAGGATTGCTAGAAGGAAGGCATACCTGTAGACTAATATGATTTAAGAAAAAGCGGTCATGATATGACAACTTAAGGCAAAGGGAAGGTTAAGGATCTAAAGCAGGAGAATTTAATGCCAGCACAAAGGATGGTCTGACTATTTTAGAAGCAGGTTTAGCTTTAAAAATGTCAAGATATCAGGAGAAGCAGATTCTGCTAAGAGACTGCAGATGACTTCCCAGATGTCATTAAAAAAATCAGTGAGGAGGAAGGATATCTGCCTCAAGGTTTTTGTTTTTTGTTTTTTAATGTTTATTTATTTTTGAGAGAGTGCAAGTGGGAGAGGGGCAGAGAGAGGGGGACAGAGGATCTGAAGCGGGTCCTTCAATGACATCAGCAAGCCCAATGTGGGGCTTGAACTCATGAACCCCAAGATCATGACCTGAGCTGAAGTCAGACACTCAACCAACTGAGCCATCCAGGTGCGCCTCAAGGTTTTTAATACAGACAAAAGTGCCCTATTCTGGGAGAAAGAAAAATGTTGCATAGGACATTAGTTAAGAAGAAAAGTGAGCACCAGAATTTAAGGTGGGAAGGAATAGGCTAACTCTGTTTTGTGAAGACACAGTCAGGTTTATGATTAGGACTGCCCTTATGTATAAAGCTGCTAAGCCCCAAACCTTGAAAGGAAAAGATAAACACCAGTTGCCAGTCTTTTGGTTGTACAACAAGAAGGCCTGGGCAATGAGAATCCTTTTTCTGGACTGGTTCTGTTGATGCTTTGCCCCTGAAGTCAGGAAGTACTTCACCAGTAAGGGACTGCCTTTGAAAGTTCTTTTGATATTGGACAATGCCCCTGGCCACCCAGAACCCCATGAGTTCAGTACCAAAGATGTCAGTCTAATTGCCCCCAAACAAAACATCTCCAATTTAACCTCTAGATCAAGGGGTCACAAGGGCCTTTAGACATCATTACACATGGTACTCTATGGAAAGGATTGTCAATGCCGTGGAGGGGGACCCCAATAGAACATCATGAAAGTCTGGAAGGACTACACCACTGAAGATGCCATTGTTGTTATAGAAAAAGCCACAAAAGTCATCAGTCCTGAAACAATAAATTCTTGCTGGAGAAAATTGTGTCCAGATGTTGTGCATGACTTCACAAGATTTATGACAGAGCCAATTAGGGAAATCATGAAAGAGATTGTGGATCTGGCAAAAAGGCGGCAGGGCAGGGAAGTGAAGGGTTTCAATATAAAGATCTTACAAAATTTCAAGAGCTAATAGACACCACACCTGAGGAATGAACAGAAGATGACTTAATGGAGATGTGCCATCTCCACACATGGCCACATCCAGTGCCAGCAAACAAATTGACACTAGACAATCCGGCCGTAACGTTCTAATTATTCAGGACTGCTTTTGACCTCTTTTATGACACAAACCCTTCTATGATATGGGCACTAATAATAAAGCAAATGGTGGAAGAAGTTTTGATAACATATAGGAATATTTTTAGAGAAACAAAAAAGCAGAAAAGTCAGAAAGAAATTACGATATATTTCTGTAAAGTTACACCAAGTGTGCCTGCCTCTCCCGCCTCCCCTTGCACCTCCACATCTGCTTATGCCACTCCTGAGACAGCAAGACCAACCCCTCCTCTTCCTCCTCCTTCTCCGCCTATTCAATATGAAGATGAGGAGGATGAAGACCTTTATGATGATCCACTTCCACTTAATGAATAGTAGATAATCATTATGCCATACAGTTAATAAACTTATCTGTTGTGCATTTGTGTGTCTTCGTGCAAATCAATATTTGCAAAAATCTAATAATTGTACAGCAAGAACTGTGTCATCATCATCGTTGTATAAGTATTCATCTTGTAGAACATCGCGTGCAAGATTTCTGTGGAAGGGAATAGTCTATCCTTATAGAGGCATAAGATGATTGATATTTAATATAAAATTAATAATGTGTTAGTTTTCTTACTGCTTTATAACTTTGCTTTTTGCTTTTCTGCAGCAGTGTTTCCAGTATTGTGTTATGAATATAATACAGTGTGCCCTAAAAAATTTTTAATGATTTACTCTGGTCTATAGGCTAGGCTACCATGAAGTAATACTATCAATTATACTAGGCTACCATAAAGAAATCATATTGCTCTTTCTTCATTATCAACACATAAGTTGTCTGTAAATAAATATGACTTTCTTTTTAACATCTTTTCATTTTGGGTGTCTAGTGTTAGTAATATGTGTAAATCTACAGTGTTCTGTATCGCATAAGACCGTATTGATGTAGGTACTGACAGATGATTCATCTTGTAAACAGATGATACAAACTTATGGTATCAATTTCTCTTCTTATGATTTTCTTAATAACATTTTCTTTCCTCTAGCTTGCTTTATTGTAAGAATACAGTATATAATACATACAAGATATGTGTTAATTAACTGTTATCATAAGGCTTCCAGTCAACAGTAGGCTATTATTATTTAAGTTTTGGGGAAGTTAAAATTTATACTTGATTTTCAGTTGCCTGGGGTGTAGGGACTCCTAACCTCTGCATTGTTCAAAGGTCAACTGTAATGAATATTTAACTTTAAAGTGACTTCTCTAATGGTATGTTTTATATTATTATTTTCACCTTCTTAGCTTTTAATTTTAATGTATATATTTTTTTATAGTTGGAGATAAGAGCTGGATTGATGTTTATGAGTAGAATGTGAACCCAGGGACTACGTTAGGTATTTTACATTCATTAATCTCATTTAATCTTCAAAATCAGCTCCAGATGTACATCATGATCTCTGGCCCCATTTTATAAATGAGGAAAGTAAAACCAAGAGAAGATTAAATAACTTGCTAAAGATCACAAAACTAACAAGAAGCAGAATTGGAAATTGAAGGAGAGTCTTTCTGAATTATTTCTGAAACTACATTGCTTCCCTAATGTCATAAGACATTAAAAGCTGGGGGGGGGGGGATGGGGTAGGAATATGGAGAACTGCCCCCAAGGAGAGGTTTTTAATTATTGTTAGACTAGTCTTATGTCCCTGTTCAATGATTTTTTAAAACTTGTAATTTAGATTCTTCCCTGCTTTAAAAAAAAAAAATGGACAACTTCTATTAAACTATTAACACATTTTAGTTTTAACCTTTTGGTGCATAGAACTATCATATATTATGTACCAAATAGTAATCAAATATCAAAATAAATACTATATTATGTGACTGACACAACGTTAGAGAATACCAGTTTAGATAACTTTTCTTTTGGTGTTGCCTTATGCTTCCCAAGAAAGAAAAAAGTAGACCTCAAAAAAATGCATTATACAGCTACTCTAGACATGAATATGACTATTTTCTATTATTGATGATTTTGTTAACAAGATTTCTTTCATTATATAACAGTGTATTAGTTATCTATTCCTAGGTAACAAATTACACCAAAATTTAGGGACTTAAAACAGCAGACATTTATTATCTCATAGGTGTCTCTGTGAGTCAGGAATTCATGAACGACTTAGCTGGGTAGTTCTGACTCAGGATCTGTCTTGAGGTTGCAGTCAAAATGTTGTCCAGGGATACAGTTATTTGAAGGCTTAAGTGAAGCTAGAGCATCTGCTTCCAAGATGGCTTACACACATAGCCATTGTTGAGAGACCTTAGTTCCTTGCCAAATGGGTCTCTCCTGTAGAGCTGTTGGAATGTCCTCACATGTCAGCTGGCTTCCCCCAAAGCAAGTTATGGAGAAATAGATTTCTCCAAAACAGAGAAAGAGGGGAAGCTGACTTAGTCTTATAAATGATGCAGTCATTTCCACTATATACTATTTGTTAGGAGTAAGTTGCTAAGTCCAGCCCACACTCAAGGGAAGGGCAATTAAGCTCTACCTCTAGAGAGGAAGAGTAGTGAACAATCTGTTGACATGTTTTCATACCACAAACAGGAACTCCAAAGGAGACTATCGTGAAAAATTATCCAAATGATTGTGCTTTAAACATGTCTAATTTTGGACAAAAGGTTATATGATCTGTCATGAATGTATGATTCAAAAATTTTTTTAATTTCATTTATTTCTGTTCTAGTCTTTATTTTTTTTTCCTTCTGTTGACTTCGGGCTTTGTTCTTCTTTTTCTAGTTCCTTTAGGATGTAAGGTTAGGTTGTTATTTGATACTTTTTTAGTTATCAAAGTAGGCCTGTATTGCTATAAATTTCCCTCCTAGAACAGCCTTTGCTGCATCCCAAGATTTTGACCATTGTGTTTTCATTTTCATTTGTCTCCATGTATTTCCTGTGTGTTTCAAAATGTTTAACTTGAAGGATAATGGTGCTGTGACATATACTACATGGTGACTCCCTTAACCAGCTAATTTGTATTTTTCTGACTCAAAAGAGACTATGATGAACCCTGCTAGAATACTGCCTTATGTCAATGGGTCGGATTATGAAAAAACTGAGTTGTTTTGAAAGTATGGGTTTACAAGAATTGGAGAACACTCATTATAAATTACTTTAGGATAAAATAATTATGCTTAGACTTTTATAGTGGCCCAAACAGCAAAAGAAAGAAAACAGAAAATACAATGGTAAGCTGAAGGTAGTGTAGACAGACACAGGGAAAAGGAAGGCCCTGCTAAGGAACTGAGCAGAGGCTGCTCAGCCACATTCTGATGCTATCAGCCAAATTAATTATGCAGATAGAGACAGTTTCCAGGCAAGGTTTTACCCTGAAGCCAAAAAAAAAAAAAAAAAAAAAAAAAAAAGGCTGTCCCAGCTGAGCTGAGCTCTGAATTAAGGTTGTGCTGCATAGGGGATGCTCTAGCCAATTTCCCAGTCTTTATTACTGGGTGATGGGGATAGAAAGTGTCTACCCTAAATATTAGTCATTCCTATCCTGGGGAACTTGGTTTGATAAATTAGAATGGATTTGAAGATCCCCTTTATTCTACTCTGTACCAGATTCTTTTCCTCATCCCATCTTGTTTCACATAGCCATGCAAGATAGGAATTATTATTCTACTTCATTCAAACTGAGAAATAGAGTATGAGAGATCATGCACAAGCACCTCCTCAGTGTCAATTAATAGGTCTTTGTATCTCTAACACTGTGCATGTGGTTTGTAATGGAAGTGGCAGGTCTGGGATTTTTCTCTCATTTGTCTTAAATGCCAGTCTATGCATTTCCTTCTTTGCCACTATGCCTTTTACGAGCAAAATGAGAAAAGTGCCACCCCACAGAAGATCAGGTCAGGTGTATAATCCAGGAACATGTGTTTTCAGAGGGGAGATCATCTTCCTGTGATGGCTGCAGTGAATAGTGGGGACCCAACCAGGAAGTCATTGTGAGGTAGTAGAGAGAGTAACTTTAGAGCTAAGAAGATGGATGTCCACAGGCAGGTTCTACTCCCTTTAAGTCCTTGTACAAGTTACTTAACTTCTTGGACCTCAGTTTACTCATTGCTATAATAGCAATAATCAGATCTACTTTGTAGAATTTTTATCAGGCTACCAAGAAAACAGTTAATTCCATTTCTTTCCTCTACTCTCTTTCCCTTCTCCCATTTGTTTAGGGGTGTCTTTTGTCACAGCAGTTGGAGGTTCGGTTGAGATCTGGGTAACACTGGAAAGTGTCAAGAATTTAGCATTTTTTTCTGAGCTCAGATACTGTACTACTTTATATGCATTAATTTAATCCTCAAAATGAACCTGAGAAGGGCTTAGTGATTATTCCCCCATTTTATACATGAGGAAACCGAACCCTAAGGAGGTATAAACAATTTCCACGTAGGTAGTGATATAAAAGTCCTTACTTGACCCATGCTAGAACTCCAAGTCTAGATATCAGAGTCTTCAGTTGCTAATTCAGTGAACCATTTTACACAGCCATACTCGCAGTTGACACACAGACTTTTCACATTCCTTACATATAAAATGGAACGATGTTCTGCTTCTTTTAGATATGTATCACTTGGTTATGTTATAAATGAACAAATGTATTTTTCTTCTTTTTAGAGTTCCTCTCCCTCAGCTAAGGAGTATGATAAAAGATGTTGCCCAAACCTTAACATTTATGTATGGTTCTTTAGATAGGTAAGTATGAATTGAATCTCAAGTTTTTTGTTTGTTTGTTTAAAAAAAAACAAAAACTTTTAACCATAGAGAACAAACTGATGGTTATCAGAGGGAAGGGAGGTGGGAGGATGGGTAAAATAGATGACTGGGATTAAGGAGTGCACTTGCTGTGATAAGCACTGGGTGATGTAGGAAAGTGTCGTATCACTATATTGCATACCTGAAATTAATATAAAAGAGTGTTAACTATACTGGAATTAAAATAACTTAATAAAAAATAATATTAAAAATAATAAAGATACCAGTGCTCCTAAAAAAATGAACCTCAAGTTTTAAGCACAGGATTCCAAATCACCTTTTGCATTTAATACTTTTCCTTGTTTGGCAAGTTAGTTATTTGTGTTTTGTTTTGTTTTTTTCTTTCTTTCTCTGATTTTCTCATCTTTTATTACTGGCTTCATTTTACAGTTCTAGGCACTTTTTCACTTGATCTATTCATTGCTTTTTCATTTTTGGTCTCATGTTAGTTTAGCAAAATAAAGTAAAATAGTGATAAAACCATAATTATATTCTGACTTGATATATTTCTATAGAAGCAAATATAAGGGCATTTCTTCAAAACAAATACAAAAAGGAGTAAGAAGATTTTAAGTTGTGTTGTTCTCTCATTATAAGACCAGTGTCAAATGCACTGTCCTAAAATGTGATTCTTCTTTCTTAAACCAATTTTTAAATTAAAAAAAAAAAAGCACTATTAAAATATATAAATGACACAGTAAAGATATTTAGTTTCATGTGTGTCATATGTTTCCTATACAATATGAATACAGTATATATATTCCCTTTTAAAATATGTGTGGGCTCATGTTATGCCTATTTTCCTGCTTCTTGTTTTTTAACATTACAGTAAAATATGATGCATCTTTCTTGATCTAAAGGAGGCAATTTGAGGTAACTTCAGGATTTGAACACATGAAATTATGGATGAAAAAAAGATTTTTCTGTTTGTGGGATTTTTTCTAAGTTCCAGTACTTCAGAGAGCTAAAATGATACCTTTGCTTTCAAAGCCTTAAGAGTATATAAGTATAAAGATCCAAAACAGTTTATATGTCTTTCCAAACCACAGTGGTATTGGCTCTCTGTTTATCTCTTATGGATCTTTGTTACCACTGTTCTCAAAGCAGCCTGAAATAACTTTCTGTGACATTGGGACTGTGTAGTGTACAGAATTCTCCTCAACAAGCCTCTTAGGAGACACATCCCTCTCAAACCTAATTCCTGGTGAGCCTTTTCCAAATGTGTGAACTACAAAAGGCCAAGCAGCCACCAACATTGTTTTTAACTTTTACTAATAAGGAAACTTTTAACCAATGAACAGTAAGGATATGGTTGTAAACTACTTCCTTAAATTTACACTGGGTAGCAAACCTTGCTATGTTTTACCTTAACTGAAGCTTCATGTTTTCATAAAAACAGAGATAATTAAAGATTAAATTCCTGAGATGAATTTCATAACTTAAGACAATCATTTGGGGTTGTTCTGCAAATTCCAAATGGACGAGGTTATGAGCAGAGGGACTCTTCATTTCTGTGAATTTCATTTTGAAATTTAGCTTTCTTTTACTTGGAAGTATCACCAAATTGGCAGCGAGTTTTAGTTTCTTCTTGTTCTAGTGAGAATTGGAAAGACAAACTAAGATAATGAATGTGAAGATCCATTGAGTTCTTACGACCAAGAAGCAGTATGGATCCAAGATGTTGTTAATAGTCCTTTTGTAGTAATTTTTAATAAGGTTTTTTCTAATTATGAAAGATATTAAAGGCCCATTATGAAAAATTATGAAAAGATTAACAAGTCCAAAGAGTTAATTTTTTTATTTTTTTAAGTTGTGAGCTGTTTAGTTCCTGTGAACCACAGAAAAGTGATTATGTATTAACAAGTTTAGGGGCACCTTTGTGGCTCAGTGGGTTAAATCTCTGACTCTTGATTTCTGCTTGGGTCATGATCTCATGGTCATGAGATCAAGCCCTGCATTGGACTCCATGCTGGGTGTGGAGCCTGCTTAAGATTCTCTCTCTTCCTCTCCTTTTACCCCTCCCCTACTCATGCTCTCTCTCCAAAAAAAAAAAAAAAAAGTTTAGTATTGTGATCATATTAAAGATAGATTTCCTCCACTATTCCTAGCAAAACTATCAGCAGACTCTAAACAGTCTGTCTCCAAAACATATCTCAAATCCATTCATTTCTCTCCATCCTCACTATCACCTTGTACAGCCACCACCATCTCTCACTGCTATAACAATCTCCATTCGTGCCACTTTAATAAATTTCCAGGGATATTGGCCTGTAGTTCTCTTTTTTTGCTTGGTCTCTGTCTGGTTTGGGAATCAAAGTAATGCTGGCTTCATAGAATGAGTCGGGACGTTTTCCTTCCCTTTCTATTTTTTGGAGCAACTTGAGAAGGAAAGGTATTATCTCTGCTTTAGATATCTGGTAGAATTCCCCAGGGAAGCCATCTGGTCCTGGACTCTTATTTGGAAGATGTTTGATAACTGATTCAATTTCTTCACTAGTTATGGGTCTGTTAAAATTTTGTTTCTTCCCATTTGAGTTTTGGAAGTACTTGAGTTTTGGAAGTACTTCCCGTTTGAGTTTTGGAACTACAGGCCAATATCCCTGATGAATATGGATGCAAAAATTCTCAACAAGATACTAGGAAATTGAATTCAACGGCATATAAAAAGAATTATTCACCATGATCAAGTGGGATTCATTCCTGGGCTGCAGGGCTGGGTCAATATTCGCAAATCAATCAATTTGATACATCACATTAATAAAAGAAAAGATAAGAGCCATGTGATCCTGTCAATCAATGCAGAAAAAGCATTTGAAAAATTCAGCATTCTTTCTTAATGAAGACCCTCGAGAAAGTCGGGATAGAAGGAACATACTTAAACATCATAAAAGCCATTTATGAAAAGCCCACAGCTAATATCATCCTCAATGGGGAAAAACTGAGAGCTTTCCCCCTGAGGTCAGGAACACAACAGGGATGCCCACTCTCACCGCTGTTGTTTAACGTAGTGTTGGAAGTTCTAGCATCAGCCATCAGACAACAAAAGGAAATCAAAGGCATCATAATTGACAAAGATGAAGTCAAGCCTTTAACTTTTTGCAGATGACATGATACTATACATGGAAAACCTGATAGACTCCACCAAAAGTCTGCTAGAACTGATACATGAATTCAGCAAAGTTGTAGGATACTAAATTAATGTACAAAATCAGTTGTATTTTTATACACCAATAATGAAGCAACAGAAAGACAAATAAAGAAGCTGATCCCATTCACAATTGCACCAAGATTCATAAAATACCTAGGAATAAACCTAACCAAAGAGGTAAAAGATCTGTATGCTGAAAACTAAAGAAAACATATGAAGGAAATTGAAGAAGATACAAAGAAATGGAAAAACATTCCATGCTCATGGGTTGGAAGAATAAATATTGTTAAAATGTCAATACTCCACTATCAACAATAACCAAAGTATGGAAAGAGCCCAAATGTCCATCGATGGATGGATGGATAAAGAAGAGGTGGTATATCTATACAATGGAGTATTACTTGGCAATGAAAAAGAATGAACCCTTGCCATTTGCAACTACGTGGATGGAACTGGAGGGCATTATGCTAAGTGAAATTAGTCAGAGAAAGACAAAATTCATAGGACTTCACTCATATGAGGACTTTAAGAGACAAAACAGATGAACATAAGGGAAGGGAAACAAAAATAATATAAAAATTATATTATAATGATAGGGAGGGGGACAAAACAAAAGAGACTCATAAATATGGAGAACAAACTGAGGGTTACTGGAGGGTTGTGGGAGAGGGGATGGGCTAAATGGGTAAGGGGCACTAAGGAATCTACTCCTGAAATCACTGTTGCACCATATGCTAACTAATTTGGATGTGAATTAAAAAAAATTTTTTTTAAATGTCAATACTACCCAAAGCAGTCTACACATTCAATGTAATCCCCATCAAAATTGCACCAGCATTCTTCTCGAATCTAGAAACAAGCAATCCTAAAATTTGTATGGAACCACAAAAGACCCCAAATAGCCAAAGTAATATTGAAGAAGAAAACCAAAGCAGGAGGCATCACCATCCCAGACTTTAGCCTTTACTACAAAGCTGTAATCATCAAGACAGTATGGTATTGGCACAAAAACAGACACATAGACCAATGGAATAGAAGAGAGACTCCGGAATTGGACCCACAAAAGTATGGCCAACTAATCTTTGACAAAGCAGGAAAGAATATCCAATGGAAAAAAGACAGTCTCTTTAACAAATGGTGCTGGGAGAACTGGACAGCAACATGCGGAAGAATGAAACTAGACCACTTTCTTACACCATTCACAAAAATAAACTCAAAATGGATGAAGGACCTGAATGTGAGACAGGAAACCATCAAAACTCTAGAGGAGAAAGCAGGAAAAAACCTCTCTGACCTCAGCCGCAGCAATTTCTTACTTGACACATCTCCAAAGGCAAGGGAATTAAATGCAAAAATGAACTATTGGGACCTCTTCATGGTAAAAAGCTTCTGCACAGCAAAGGAAACAATCGACAAAAGTAAAAGGCAACTGATGGAATGGGAAAAGATATTTGCAAATGGCATATAGACAAAGAGCTAGTATCCAAAATTTATAAAGAACTCTCCAAACTGCACACCCAAAAAACAAATAATCCAGTGAAGAAATGGGCAGAAAACACGAATAGACACTTTTCTAAAGAAGACATCCAGAGGACCAACAGGACATGAAAAGATGCTCAACATCACGCCTTATCAGGGAAATATAAATCAAAACCACACTGAGATACCACCTCACTCTGGTCAGAGTGGCTAAAATAAACAAATCAGGAGACTATGGATGCTGGAGAGGATGTGGAGAAACAGGAACCCTCTTGCACTGTTGGTGGGAATGCAAACTGGTGTAGCCACTCTGGAAAACAGTGTGGAGGTTCCTCAAAAAATTAAAAATAGACCTACCCTATGACCCAGCAGTAGCACTGCTAGGAATTTACCCAAGGGATACAGGAGTTCTGATGCATAGGGGCACTTGTACCCCAATGTTTATAGCAGCACTTTCAGCAATAGCCAAATTATGGAAAGAGCCTAAATGTCCATCAGCTGACGAATTGATAAAAAAGTTGTGGTTTATATATACAATGGAATACTACTTGACAATGAGAAAGAATGAAATCTGACCATTTGTAGCAATGTGGATGGAACTGGAAAGTATTATGCTAAGTGAAATAAGTCAGGCAGAGAAAGACAGATGCCATATGTTTTCACTCTGATGTGGATCCTGAGAAACTTAACAGAAGACCAGGGGGGAGAGGAAGGGGGGAGGGGAGTTACAGAGAGGGAAGAAGGGAAACCATAAGAGACTCTTAAATACTGAGAACGAACTGAGGGTTGATGGGGAGTGGGGGAGAGGGGAAAGTGGGTGATGGGCATTTAGGAGGGCACCTGTTGGGATGAGCACTAGGTGTTGTATGGAAACCAGTTTGACAATAAACTATGTTTATTAAAAAAAAAAATTCCAAATGCGGTTAAAGCAGTCTTTTTACATTATAATCTGGCTCCTACATATCTTTCTGATTTCAGATCTCAAACCACATTTCCCCTCTGGCTGGTCTGTGGACACCCTGGCCACACTTGTTCCACACTAGGGCTTTTGCGCTCTTTTCTGTCCCTAGATCTTCTTGACATTGGGATCTCAGCTAAATGTCCATTCTCAAAGACTCTTCCCCAACTTTTGATGTAAAATAACCAACTAGTTACATCACCCATTCACATGATCTTGTTCTCTGTATATCTCTTTGTACAAGTTCATGTTTTTACTCTTTGTTCATTAGTTGTCTTTCTCCATTAGAACATGAGCTCCACAGAAGCAGAGACCTTGTCTTTTGTCTTGATATTTTTACTGCGGTACCTCCAGCAATGAGAATAGTGCCTAGAACATAGTTGGCACTCAAACAATTTGTTGAATGAATCCATGAATATTATTCTGATGTATTAATGGTACATATACTAGCTATTGTGTTATCAAGCAGGCTATTCCAATGAATAGTTGCAGGCAATGCTCTATTATTTTTGCATAACTAAAGTCAAGTGTTTAGTGTGTGTGTCTCTCTATCTCTTTTTCGGTTCTTCAGTAGTGTTGCCTACATTAGTGAAGAGGGGAAAAATAACTTGGGCTAATTATGTGCTTACTGTGTTCAGTAAGTAATAAGTATAATAAATAAATAAATAAAGTACTAAGTACTTTGCATGCAAGTCAGATTGTATTATCCCCATTTTTAGAGTTGGAAACAAAAGTTCAAAGAACTTTTCCTGAGATAACTACCTGGTAAAAGCAATGATAAGATTCAAAGACAAATATGTTCTATTACAAAGCTCAAAATTTCTTTATTATTCCATCCTGCCTGAAAGATATTGAGAGGTTAAATGGTTAAGAGATAAGGTAAAAGCAACTTACATTTTTTTACAAAAAGGTTACTTCAGTCCATTTTGTTGTAGATATACCGCTTGTGTTAGCCCTGTGGTTCTTCCATAATACCATCTGCTCAGTGCATTTGAAAGTAGGTTTTCGGTGCAATAACATTATAGCAGTAATTCTTTTTATTTTTTTTTATTTTTTTTAATGTTTTTATTTATTTATGAGACAGAGACAGAGCATGAACGGGGAGGGGCAGAGAGAGAGGGAGACACAGAATCGGAAGCAGGCTCCAGGCTCTGAGCCATCAGCCCAGAGCCCAACGCGGGGCTCGAACTCACGGACCACGAGATCATGACCTGAGCTGAAGTCAGATGCTTAACCGACTGAGCCACCCAGGCGCCCCTAGCAGTAATTCTTCATAAGGGAGAGGAGGAAGGAAGAGAGCCTATGTATTTGGGAAAGATCCACTCTCCTAGGGACATACAAAAGATGACCACTATTTCCATATGTTTTTCTGACTTACAGCTGTTGTTTCTTCAGTGCCTTTTGCCAGGTTGAGAATGTTCCTCGTCTGGATCATTTTTTCATCTTGTTCTTTCAAAGAGCACTTCAGCCTACTAAACTACATTCCAGTGCCAGTTTGAACGCACAACAATATGATGCTTCCAGTGCAGTGCTCTTAGACAGTCTCCCCGGAGTTCGGTGGCTCACACTTCCACAGGAAATCAAGGTAATCCTGGGTGTCGTAAATAAAAATCAGAACCAGTTGCCTTGTAATTTTTTATCTTCTCTCTTTTTTAGACTTTTTGTATTTTCAGGATTGTGGGTAAGAGTTGAAGCCATTGATTGATGAAGTAGGTGATCCAGTACAGTGAACTTAGACAAATATTTCTTTCTAACCAGAAATTAGCTCTCTCATCTTACTGTAACATTTAAGCATTTTCTAAATTTGTAATACTTCTCAGAAATCATAATTATATGGTGTGACTTGCTTTTGTTTGTTTATCAGATGTTCTTTTTAAAAAAAATTTTTTTTTAACCTTTATTCATTTTTGAGAGACAGAGAGAGACAGCATGAGCGGGGAAGGGGCAGAGAGAGGGAGACACAGAATCTGAAACAGGCTCCAGGCTCTGAGCTGTCAGCACAGAGCCCAACGTGGGGCTCAAACTCATGAACTGCGAGATTATGACCTGAGCTGAAGTCAGACGCTCAACGGACTGAGCCACCCAGGCGCCCCAGATGTTTTTTTTTTTTTTAATGTCATTTTTCTTAAGGTACACTGGAATAATTAAGAGAGTAGATACTTTGTTCTCTTAAGGAATGTGAAGAAACAATTATTGTAACCTTGTACGTTAGCCTACAGTTCAGTAGCAGGAATAGCAACCTGGAATCATTAATATTTGTGAGATCAGAATTAACAAGTGGGTACTTTTCTTGTTGTCTATTATTTCTTACAAGAGCACCAAAGCCACAAAAAGGAGTACATGAAATATTTGCTAGATACAGAAAAATGCAGGTCACAAATGAGTAATAAGTCATAGAGTGTGAAAAGTATTGAAAGGCATGACTAATGTTTCCAAAGCTTTTGTCATCTCAGTAAGACACAGTTTGTGAAATAGTCCTGCAGAGAGTGCCTTGGCCTTTAAAAAGAAAAGGAAAAGGAAAAAAAAGGATTCTTTTCCACAAATCACATTTATGCCACAAGCTTTAACTGCCTAGTTTTCAATTTATATATATGTATTACAGATTAAACTACAGATTAAATTTATTCTGTTTTTAAATTTTGAATGTTTCATGGAAGAACAAACACATGAAAGAGTTTGGGAAATTTCCATAGAAACAAAAGCTAAATCCTAAGTAAGATTTTTCTAATAACCCTGTAGGGAAGCTAAACTGTGCCAGGTTCCAGGGGAACACTTTTCTTCATGTTTTAATCCATAAATAAAGATTAAAAGTCCTTTTATATAGAACTTAGGAAAGAGACAGGGAAGAATGTTTATTTTCCAGGGATCTAACTGTTGAGAAATATACAGCAATAAAGGGGGAAAAAAAAAAACCTCAAAATAGATTGGGTACATTAAGATGGGTTATTTTCCTGTAAGAATTTTGATAGGTTCAAAAATTTCCTAATTCAAAACTAGAAAGCAATTTTTTTAACCTCATAAGTTATTTTGCATTGAATACAGAGTGAAGTTCATTTTGTAATAATTGAGATTTAATTGAAAAATGACAATATGTTAAATAATTTTTTTCCATGTAATTGCAAAGCTTAAAACAACATGTTCTATTTTCGGACATTTCTTAAATATCACAAAGGAGAAAGATACTTATTCAATTCTTCAAGTAATTATTAAGCACTTTTATGAGGCCATTACTAAACAATAACCGAGTTAAATGGTTGTGGTTTTTTGTTTTTTGTTTTTTGTTTTTTTCCCACATAGATGGAACTAGACACAGCATTGAGTGACTTAGAGTCTGCAGATTTTGCTGAACTGGTAAGAAAGCCAGTGGATTTTAGGCTTAATGTTGATTTCATATATTGTAAATCAGCCATTATTCTAAATATTTTTCAAGTGGGCATGTAATAATCTTGAAATACGTAGCATTGGATCTCTATTTTGACATGAACAAAATTTATTTTCCTTGCCTTAAAAAAACTTCTTATTTATTTAATTTTTATGTATTTATTTATTTATTTATTTATTTTGATGTTTATTTATTTTTGAGAGAGAGCAGGGGAGGGGCAGAGAGAGAGGGAGACACAGAATCCGAAGTAGGCTTCAGGCTCCAAGCTGTCAGCACAGAGCCTGACACGGGGCTCAAATCCATGGACCATGAGATCATGACCTGAGCTGAAATCAAGAGCTGAATGCTTAATTGACTGAGCCACCCAGGCACCCCACTTATGTTCTGTTCTTAAATGTCTCTAATCAACAGTATCTTATAAGAATAAAAAATAAGATTGCTTTCAGTCAAAAATATATGCACATTATTTTTCACCCTAATACCCTAGTATGTTCATTTCTAAAGAAGGCACTATGAAAAGTTCAGTTACTAAAGAATATAATTGCCATTTTTAATTATTATAGCTTTACTAGGATTTTTTTAATCATGAAAAACAAAGAATATAAATCCACTGTGGTTTTGCTCCCCCAGTCTGAGGACTACTATGACATGAGGCGGCTGTATACAATTTTAGGATCTTCTCTATTTTACAAGGTAAGTTGAAGGCTGAAATTTTTATAAATGTCCAACTGCCATATAAAGAGACCTAAAGTAAATTTTCTCAAACTTCTACAAACATGAAAAATACATTTATCTCTTTTCCTTTGAATGTAGTTACCATAAAATTAAGGTCTTCAAAAAAACCCAGTACCTACAGATTTACAAATACAATATTTTTGATATTATTACATTCATTATATATATTGCATTTGCAGATGTATAAGCAGAAACAGTAATGGAGGAACCAAGTGCGTAGGAGAGAAGAGCAATACTCTCTCGGTTTCTTTTTGCAGCAGTGCACTTTTTTTCTTATCCTCAGACATAACCATATATCTTTTTAGTATATCTTCTAACATTCATTGACTTCCATGCAAAGCAAATTAAGCATCAAATGAATTTAAGTGTTTTGGCACTTCAAGAAGATTTTTAAACATGATTTAAAACATATCTAAAAAAGAATCAGACAGTACAGAATGGTACACAGTGAAAAGTAAGTCTGTCCTCACTGTAACTTCTCTTCTCCACTTTCCATGCTCAAAATTCAGTTCTTTTCTAACTTTGCCAAATAGTCAGGTTTATACTACTCAGGCCATCTTGCTTTGTGCTAAAGTCTGTGGTAGACTTATCATAAATATTTGATCTCTAATTGACCTCAGAAAAAGAACATTTATCTTTGCTATGTCTTTATTCTATTTGAAACTGGAATATTTTAAGCTAACTGAAGTACCTGTAAAATTCTTAGAAATATATTATGACATAGTTGACTTCTGTTCTTTGTGGTTAAATTCAAGGGTTATTTGATCTGCAGTCATTTGCCTAAGGATGACCTTATTGATATTGCCATATACTGTCGCCACTATTGCCTACTGCCGTTAGCAGCAAAACAAAGAATTGGTCAGTTGGTTATATGGAGAGAAGTGTTTCCTCAACATCACCTCCAACCTTCTACAGACTCAAACACTGAAGTCTTTCAGGAACCTGAAGGAAGATATTTTTTGCTAATCGTTGGCTTGGTAAGTTTACTTTGGTTTCTGTGTGTGCGTTTTGGGGTGGCTTTTTTTTTTTTTTTTTGGCCATTTACTATCTTAAAATACACAAACAAATATGACAGTTTAAAATTATGAGTGTGCCAGATACCAGTATTCAAGAAAATGTTATATGTCCCTTATTCCTTTTCTTTTACATCCATTTAATACTCGTGAAGAAATATTAATGAAGCCCAGAATAAGATTTTATCAGGTTCTTCAGATCTTTTGTTCTCATTTCTGTAGTGGTTTTATCCTCTGGTTTGTCTTGGGAAAGAGAGACATGAAAAGAATATAGAATCAGAAAAAACATGTGATTGTAGATAAAAGGACTTCTAATCACTGTGGCTCTTTGAAAGCCACCTTAGGGAACTCCATGTACCAGAAAGTAGTCTTTGATGGTATACCAAGAGAAGGCAATATGAGATTTGTTTTCAAGGATGATCAGGAAGCATTGAGAATAACTAAGAAACTGAGGCAGTTTTTAATAATCATATGATTATACCATGTTTTTCGTACTTATAAATTTATGCACGTACACTACATATAAACATTTTCATGTAGCTAAATCTCTATTAATATTTTTGTCTTATAGAAGCATTATATGTTATGTGTACTATTAGAAGCTGGAGGCTGTGCATCCAAAGCTATTGGGAATCCTGGACCAGACTGTATATATGTGGATCAGGTCAAAACAACTCTTCATCAGCTGGAAGGAATAGATTGTCGCATAAATGAACGGCTAACGTCTCCAAGCCCCTGTTTGTCTTGTGCTGACTGGTTCCTTATTGGATCACATGAAAAATTAGATAGTTTGACAACCTCACCTATCCTCAGTAAGCTTCCAGGTACTTCCAAAGTAGCAACCTCTCCAACATGCAGAAGAATTCTTTTTGGTGACTATTCCTTAAAGACACGTAAGCCCAGTCCTTCCCAAAGCAGTGGAGGATCTGACAATGGTTGTGAAGGTGGAGAAGGTATTCACCTGAGTCCCCACTCTACACCAGATACAGTACGGAAACAACAAAGAGAACCTCAGGGCTCTGATGGTTCAGAAGAAAGTGGGGCCTTGCTTAAGGTGTGTGTTCATTTGAGTGTGTACATTTGAGAGCTACTGTCTTTCCAGTTCTTATTTTATAATTGCAAGAAAATTTTTAATGGCAAATCATTCTTCATTTGATCTAGTGGTTGTTTTGGTTATTGTTAGCAAACCAGTGATTTAGAACCAAAAAAGAGAGGGGCGCCTGGGCGGTTCAGTCAGTTAAGCAGCCGACTTCGGCTCAGGTCATGATCTTGCGTTCTGTGGGTTCGAGCCCCGCGTCGGGCTCTGTGCTGACAGCTCAGAGCCTGGAGCCTGTTTCAGATTCTGTGTCTCCCTCTCTCTGACCCTCCCCTGTTCATGCTTTGTCTCTCCCTGTCTCAAAAATAAATAAAACGTTAAAAAAAATTTTTTTTTTTAAATAAAAGAATAAAAAAAAAAAGAAAGAAAGAACCAAAAAGAGAAAGAAATATCAAGTAATAAAATAGTAGCATCCAGGACAACTGCTTGACACTACTTACAAGTAGGAAAATTCTTTAATCCTTCCTGCTTTCCCTGTTCATCTTTCTTCTGTCACAAGGTTAACAGAGAACATCCTAGTTGTGTGGGATTTTAGATGCCTGATTTAACTAAATAAGCAATAAAATATTCAGCAGAAACAGAGAATCAGAAACCTAAAAAAATATATTTATGTAAATATATGTGTATATACATGTTATTCTATAGGTTTTTATAGTTTTTTTTTTGTTTTATTTTGTTTTTATCTGAATCTATAAAGGCTGGTCTCCATTGTCAATAATTTAAAATGTGATTATAAAACAAAGAGAATGTTCATTTTTCAGATTGTTTATTTTTATCCTTTTTCCATGTTTTTGGATACAATAATGTATCCAAATGATCATCAAAGTAATCACCCCGGGAGGTCTTCTACTATTCTAGTGATGCTCTACTTTCAGAACACTTTTGAAACTTGCTTGTCATTTGGATTGTTGGAAGTGATGTCAGACAAGACATGAATAAGATAGAATCTGAGAAGGGGCACCAATAAAATGTGAGATTCTGAGTGTCATGGCATAAATAGCCATAGCTTCCATCTTCTAATTCCAAACAATACAGCAGTCTTGGAGTCTGAAGTGGATATATTTAGAAAATACCCGCATTCGTCCTATATATTCATTATCCCAGTTGGTGAAATTGGTAGGAAATATAGTTTAAGAAGTAGTAGGCTTAAGAAGCCATGAATAACTCTGAAGAGAAATTAAATAATCTCTATAATCGAGCCATTCAACAAATTTGATTGAACACCTATTATGTGCCAAGGGCCATGCTATACAGAAATACAAAGATGGGTAAGACATAGCCCCTGCCTTTGAGGAGTGCAAAGTCTAGAGAGGGAGACAAGCACATTTACACATAAAATATAATAAAACTTGGGGCACATGGGCAGCTCATTTGATTGGTTTTGGCACAAGTCATGACCCCAGGGTTGTGGGATCAAGCCCCACATTGGGCTCTGTACTGAACATGGATGGAGCCTACTTGAGATTTTCTTTCTCCCTCTGCCCCTCTTCCCCTTTCACACTCTCTTTCTCTGTCTCTAAGATAAAGAAAAGAAAGAAAAAATGAAAAAAAAAGTGTAACAAAACTTGATAGTGGCTCTGGTAGATTTTCAGGAAGAACTATGACATCCTTCTATGACATGGCCCTAGGTCACTGTTAGCGAAGAATAAGCCAGGAGGTATAAGTTAGCCTCAAACATATTTAAAGGAAACATTGCAAAATACTAAATAGTTCTCTTAGAAAGTTTTCAGTTTTTACATTATGTCTGCTGTTTGATTCCATTCTTAGATGCAAACTGATCTACTTAACTGCATTTTTCAGGTCACTAAACGGAAGTCTGCTCTTCCAAATCCATTTCATTTGGGGAACTTGAAAAAGGACTTTTCAGATAAAGAACTGGAAATATATAACACAATGAAGTAAGAAGCATACTTGTATTCTTTTTTTTTAAAACATGTGTCTTCGAGCAAACTTTACAGCAAGAAAGTACAAATCCATAACATATAGAGATTTAACTCAAAAATGTAATTGTGATATATCTTACATATTAAAGGTAATGTCTATGCTAATTCACTAACGTTTTTCATTATACAATAGGGAACCCGTACTCCTATTATAAAAGATAAAAAAACAGAGTGATGTTTCAAAATGTGAAAGTCCCCTCTTATCTCTTTTCCACAGGTAACCTCCCTTTTGTATGTCTAATTTTTTTATTATAGTATTTACTGTTTTTAGACTTTGGTGGATGCTGCAGTCTGCTGCACAGATATTCCATAGCCCAGGGTACTCCTTCCAGTGTTTGGGGATAATGGCTGCTAACTACTCACAGCTGAGTCTCTTGTTCTGCTTGGAAGTTTATTGACTCAGCCAAGATGACAATTTATCCCTAGAAATAGCCCACATCTAAGGACTAATAGATAAGTTGAATACAAAGACTTGGCCTAAATTCGAGACAACTCTAAAAGGCCATCCAATCTCATAGTTCCAAGTGGTATCTGCTGAGATTTTGTTTCAACTGCAGTGTGGTTCAGCTTTTCCCTCTGCTCAATCCTTCTTCCTCCCACACTTGTGGGACTTCCTCCCACAAGTGTTGTTCCCCAGAGTTCTCTCTAGTAAACTTCCTTGCTGCATCTCCCTCTGAGTCCGGGGGTAGGAACTGAGCCTATAACACCCATTTTAGGAAAGAAATGAAACCTCAAACTTACATTAAGTAGGAATTCTGAAGTAAAAGGAACGGAGTGAGAAGAGCATGTCTATAATTATTAAAACATAAAATGTCTATAATTATTAAACTCTGTAATTATTAAAATGTAAAATGTTACGTATTCACTTCTTGTGCAACTATTATGTGGTGATGAGCTGTCTGAGCTTTGCCTGATGTTTAATTATGATGTCATATGTGGGGTCAGTTAGTATAACAAACTCCATTGCACACTTCTATTTGAATAAGCAGACACATAAATCACACACAAAAAGTTCAGCACTATTACTTTCTTAATCATGAAACATCTTTTTAAAGATTATGAATGTTTATTTTTTGTTAATGTTTATTTATTTTTTATGTTTATTGATTTATCTTTGAGAGAGAGAGAGGGAGAGACAGAAAGAGAGGGGGAGAAAGAGAATCCCAAGCAGGCTCTACACAGTCAGCATAGAGCTGGACGTAGGGGTCAAACTCACAAACCATGGGATAATGACCTGAGCCGAAATCAAGAGTTGGACACTTAATCAACTGAACCACCCAGGCACCCCAAAACATTTTATAATAAGTTCAAATATGTATGTCACAGAGTTGTCAGAAACGGCTTTTTTTTCCTGACGTTAGAGCAAAAACAAGGTAACTTGTCTGCATAAAATAATGTAATGGGAATCTAATGTGTTAAATTTAATGCCTTCAAAAACTATGGTTAGTTTTTTAATAGTTAAAAATGTTTTTTCAACAAATCTAAATCAAACCTTTTGTAGAGCTTTGAAATACTTTCCCAAACCCTCGTCTTCTATTTAACAAATACCACTCTGAAATTTTATTACCCCCATATCTTACTTTTTAAATGTGTGTGTGTTATTTTTACCTTATCTCTAGTAAAAGAAAATGTTTTACAAGTTCAGGCTTGAACATAAATTCATATACAATGTAAATCATAGGCTGTCTATTTAAAAAGATCCTACAGAGGTGCCTGGGTGGCTCAGTTGGTTAAGCGTCAGACTCTTGATATTGGCTTAGGTCATGATCTCCAGGTCATGAGATCGAGCCCTGCCTGGGGCTCCGTGCTGAGCATGGAGTCTGCTTGGGATTCTCTCTCTCCCTCTCCCCCTGCTCCTCTCCCACTCGTACTCTCTCTCTCTCTCTCTCTCAAAATAAAAAAATGAAACATTAAAAAAAATTTTTTTAAAGATGCTACAGATGCATATTTATTTTCTTTATTGACATGAAAAATGTTCATACTATGTAGTTAATTTTAAAAGTATGAAATAAGCCAGTGTAGATTATCCTAATTTCTGTGTATACACTTTTGTAAAATAAAAATATATAACATATTAAAAATAATATACACAAAACAGTTCATTTAATAACCAAGTCCTATACTCTACATTCTAATAATTATTTATTCCATTCAACCCCTATTGTTCCTACTGTAGATCAGGCTCCCATTGTCTTACCTGTTTTACTGCAACAGTCTCCCAACTCCCAGCCTACCATGAATCCATTTTCTGCTGCAGGAGTGACCTTTCTCAATAATAAATGACTTAATCTATGCTTTCACAAATATTTTGTCTTCCCATTGGGCAATTGTTTGATGATTTTTAAACTTGCAGTGTATCCACTGAGTTAATATACTCTGAATGAGTTTATGATTTTCAAGAGCTAAATTTCCTCACTGTGTTGTGGATTTTTTTTTTTTTCAGAGAGAGAGAAAGTTAAAAAAAACAACAAAAATGTTGATTCTAAACCTCCCTAAAAAGGAATCTTATTAATTTCTCTTTTTAAAGAATTGTTTCTGTTCTGTACCTTTTCTTAATTTTGAAGACCTCTAAAATAAAATGTATGTTTTAATTTAGTTTCCTTTTTGAGTAATCAAAATTCCTCTCTTCTTGATTATTTGAGTTACTAATTGAAAAAGATCAGCCACCAGTTGAGTTGTTAGTGAGCCAGCCACCTTCTAGAAAAGTATGAGAAAAATTTGCAGATGATCTCCTTTCCGGTCTATCCCTGGTCTGAAAAAAGAACCAAAGCCATAAATCACTAATAAGAAGGAGAAATTATTCTGATCATGCCTCCTAATTAAGAGTTTAACAGGATTTTAACTAGCATGGATGATCAAAGGCAGTATCCAGGCTAAGAGATGTTACATGCCTTTTCTCTGCCTCTGTGCTTATGGCTGGAAAAAAATCAACTGAGAGAATGTTTTAAAAATAGACATCAGAATTAGAATGGGGGCAGCTTGAGTGTTTGAAATGCAAATGGAGAATTGCTGTCCATATGTTTAAAGATTGCCCATCAGAAGTCATCAGTAGAAAGGAAAAAGTAAGGGATAGTGGAGTAAGCTTCAGAGTTAGCTTAGCTCAGCCACTTAGCTGTGTGACCTCAAGCAAGTTAATCTGAGATCTCTGAACACTGATTTCCTCGTGGTTAAAATGAGGGGAGTAATACTATTTAATATCTCACAAGATCATTTTGAGAATTAAGACTAAGGTATTTTAAAGCCCCCCTCCCACCCCAGGCACAGAGAGGGCATTCAGTATGTGATACTATTAGTATTTTGTTGCTATCATTGTTATTCTTTAGCTCTTCTTACCATTGGTAGAAATAAATATTTATAGATTCTACTGACTTGTCTGAGACCTAAATAGGGGAAGAAAGAATGGAGAAATGAAAATAGTAAGAGAACATGTAAGGGAAGGAAGACGGTGATGATGAATAGTAGAATACTACCAGTAATTGTCATAGTATTCTAGATTATTAACCCAGTTTTGCAGTCACTAATAATAATTTTATTTTTCTTCAGGATCATCAGTCTGACTGTTATGCTACAAACTTAAATGTGTTCATTTTGTTGGAAGGTGTTCTTATATGTGGTCCACTCTGGACTGATACCTTATTTATGACTTGTAGGTATCTGGGCCAGACAGGGGCTGAGTTATTTATTACCAACCATGGAAAAAGAAGGGTTTAGCCAATTTGGGTTGTTTAGCAAAGGAATAATTAAGTGGTTTGCAATTGGTGTTTATCCTCACATACCATGTAGTATTTGCCTCCATTAACGAATTGATAATAACCCTAGCTGTACTTTAGTTAAGGAGGAAATGGGAATTAAATATTTGTACTAGTTTCCCTGTCCTAATTACACTCCAAATATTATATTGTAGATAAAAACTTAGGAGTCTATAAACATTCAAAATGAAGGAATATTTTTAAGCTTACTTAAATATTTTTTTTCTTTCTTTTGTTCTTTTCAAGATTGACATCTGGTCCTGAGAACACACTTTTCCACTATGTTGCCTTAGAAACTGTGCAAGGGATCTTTATTACTCCTACCCATGAAGAAGTGGCACAGCTAAGTGGCTCTATCCACCCTCAACTAATAAAGAATTTCCATCAGTGTTGTCTCTCCATTCGTGCAATTTTCCAACAGACATTGGTAGAAGAGGTAGGATACTGCCATAAGTATATTTTTCTGTTTTGTTCCCAGATCTCTAAATATTATCTCTGAAAGGTCTTTAATCAGTATGCCCAATAATTACAGTTTTTATTTAAAACTTTTGTAACAATCACCCAATCTAACTAGAGCACCCAATCTAACTTGAGTGCCCAAAGGATTATACTCACCATATTTAACTTCAAAGCTTTGTTTCATAATACTGAGTTTGATGTCCTGGATTACTATTTCAGAAAATGGTGGACCTGTGTTCTTCTACAGCAAAGTAGAATATGGTAGTTTGTAATGTAAATTAGCCTCCATATTTGACATTTGTGAGTCAACCATTACTTGCGCAGTAGTATCTACCCGTTGGTAACTCTGATAATTCTTTAAGTATTCCATCAGTAATATAAGGTATTTTGTAATATAATAGGGTAAAATATAGCAGTAGACACAAGACTGTTGTAAATGTTTCAGCCACTTGTTTCATTTCTTGCTTGCTTGCTTGCTTTTTAATCCAGGATGAAGTTTCATTTAATATTATACGTCTGGAAAGTAGTAATGTTGTATATAATTAAAAAATCAATTAGATTATCTTAATGGCAGGGAAAAGTATGTGTTGATTTCTGGAAAAGGATAAACATACAGAAATTCACTTGTCAGTGGTCAAATATCATACAGCCAAAAAAAATTAAAAAATAAAAAACCACAAAACCCTCTCTGAAGATGCTAGTAATGTATACAGCAATATGTGTGTTTAGAATGCTAAGTTTGTGAAGAACTTGGGTTTAAAGAAGAACATTGGACTGGGAATAAGGAATCCTGGACTGAGCCTCAACTCTTCCTATTTCCTTACTGTAAAGTAAGTGGGCTGAATTATGTCTTAGAACTTGTTCAGCAATAAATTCTGTGTCTGATAGGATTTCTTCTTTGAGCTATCAGAAATTAGTATTCAGCAAAATGTTACGTCTGACCATATATCTCTGTGTGCTTTGTGGTCTTACGATCCCCCTTTCCTTGTAACATAACTGGTTGATTCTATAAAGGAATGTCTCATTAATTTATTCATGTAATACTCATGACGCAAAATAAATATTACTCATGTAGAGGTCTGTTGTCCCTGTTGGTTGATTGATGAGGTCTCTTTGAGCCAGTTAATTAAAGCTCCATAAGGGTCTTCTCGTCTTATTGTTATATTCCCACCTCTTCACGGGAAGGTCAATTTCACGGATTGGAAGTAAGAGACAGTAAAGCCCTCCTGTGGCCATTCGCACAAGTCCCTATTTAGGGAACAAGTGATTATGCTACCTTTGCATGGTCAGGATACCGCAGCCGTTTAACTAATGTCACCAGGCAGGCACTGCCTCTAATACTAGAAATGCTAGAGGTGATGTTTTTGGTATACAGGCGGGGCTTGTGTTTGCCGAGTTCCTTTTACTTCTTTTAATCTTTCCTTATTTGCATACCTGTGTTGGGTTAACAATTGGTTTGATATTTCGTTTATGGTTAGGTTATATTTATCTTGTCGGTAACTGTCAGTGGTTATCTGCTCTGATATAAGCTTATGCAAGGAGAAGTATTTCTTGTTACTTATATTAGCATTATTGCTTCTATTGTTGAATAGATTGACCCAGTATTGAGTTAGGAGTTGGTTGCATTTTTTGACATTAAGGTGTTTTGATTGTTGAGCTTGAACACTTTCTTAATTGATGGCTGCTTTTAAGCCAACTATGGTTTATGTTTATGCTTACTCTCTAAGGAAGGCTGTATCCTAGTTCTAAAAAGCTGTACCTTTTTAGATTATATTTTAAACTTACATTAGAATTTTAGGAGGTTTTTGGGGTAAGTTTAAAGTTGAACTAAAATTCTGTTCTGGGTAACCAGCTATCACCAGGCTCGTTAGGCTTTTCACCTCTACCCACAAATCTCACCATTTTGCAACATAGACAAGTTCATCCCGTAAAGATTGTTCATGGGTAGCTCGTCTGGTTTCGGGGGACCTAGCTAAAGTTCTCTTTGTTAGGTTGTTCTAGCTAATTCATTATGCAAAAGGTACAAGGGGTAATCTTTGCTGTGTAGTGCTTTTAATTTTTCTTTCATCTTTCCCTTGCAGTACTCGGCAAGTTAAATTTCTATCTCCTATGCTTTTAAGGGTAACTGTTTTATTTTATTGTCTAATGTTAATTGAATTTATGGGTGTTTGGGCTAGCTTTGGCTCAAGATGGTCAGTTTAATATGAAATCTTCTGGGTGTAAGCCAGATGCTTTGTTTAAGCTACATCTTGTTTATCCAAGCACACTTTCCAGTATGCTTACCTTGTTACGACTTGTCTCCTCTTGTGGGTTTAGTGGTTTGAATAGTTTTTTTTTAAGGGTTTTTGTCACTTGAGGAGGGTGACGGGCAGTGTGTGCGTGCTTCATGGCCCAATTCAATTGAGCTCTCTATTCTCAATTTACTACTAAATCCTCCTTTAGTCCTTAGTTTCATAAGGATTTTCGTGGGTATTCTAGTTATAGAAAATGTAACCCATTGCTTCCCATCTCATGGGCTACACATTGACCTAACTATTTTGGGTTAAGATACTTGTGCTTACTTTTCTTCCCTTTTTAGGGTTTGCTGAAGATGGCGGTATATAGGCTGATTTAGCAAGAGATGGTGAGGTATATTGGGGTTTATCGATTATAGAACAGGCTCCTCTAGAGGGATATAAAGCATTGCCAAGTCCTTTGAGTTTTAAGCTGTTGCTAGTAGTTCTCTGGTGGATAGTTTTGTTTAGTTAAACTATCTAGGTTTAGGGCTAAGCATAGTGGGGTATCTAATCCCAGTTTGGGTCTTAGCTATCGTGTGGTCGGAGATGTTAAAGTTACTTTCGTGCTGTATTTTTACGTTAATTGTAGCTTTTTACAGCCTAGTTAAGGTTTAACTTTAGTATGAGTTTTTCTCTATAACACGCTTTACGCCGTGGGTCTATTAGTTTGGGTTAATCGTATGACCGCGGTGGCTGGCACGAAATTTACCAACCCTTGTTTAATATAGCTTAGTCAAACTTTCATTCATAGCTTAATTTTTATCACTGCTGTATCCCGTGGGGGTGTGGCTGGGCAAGGTGTCATAAGTTAAGTGGTTGTGTGCTTGATACCAGCTCCTTTAGGTCGCTGAGTGACCTCGAGGGCATTTTCACCGGGGTACAGAGGCTTGCATGTGTAATCTTATTAATAACTAATGGAAAGGCCAGGACCAAACCTTTGTGTTTATGGAGTCTGACGACTCATCTAGGCATTTTCAGTGCCTTGCTTTGTATATTTAAGCTACATTAACGGGGAGGACGTATTGTATTAAGTTGATTAGGTGTGGGAAAAATATTGCTCGATAGGGACGAATTAGAGCTTAGGTTAGTGTATCTATAGATAGCTGCGAACAGAGATATAAATTAGTATTAGTAGTAATAACAGGGATTTGATGAATTTATAAATGTTGCTTCTTAGGCCTTATATTTAGGTATAGGTTTAGTCTTGTTTTTTGGGTTTGGTAGGACAGTAATAAACGCGTATTTTTACTAATAAGGTTAACGGGGGGTAAGGGGGATTTGGTTAAGCTAGTTATTTACTAAATTAAAGTGCATGTGTAATGCATATATGCGTATGTGGAAACGTGAGTGTACGTGTATACGTGTATGCGTGTGTGCGTATACATGGGTGCATGCACGCTGTGTCCCGTGAGACGTCAGGAATTGGAGTATATGTCCTGTAACCATTGACTGAATTGCACCTTATTTGTATGTGTGTGGAGACCCCGCATAGAGAATAAGCCCAGCTACAAGATATTTGACTGCATCGAGACCTTTACGGTCATAGCTGAGTCATAGCAAGTTCCCCTCCTAAAAATTAAAAAATACCAAATGCATGACACCACAGTTATGTGTGATCATGGGCTGATTAGTCATTAGTCCATCGAGATGTCCCATTTGAGAGGGTTGAAGGATTGGAGTCAAGAATTTGATGGCCCTGAGGTAAGAACCAGATGCCAGGTATAGTTTCACAATAGAAACCCCCAGGTTAAGATGGGCCCGGTGCGAGAAGAGGTACAAGTTCAGGCAATGGTTGCTGGTTTCTCAAGGCTTGGTGATTAAGCTCTTTCGGACAGTTGAGGTCCATAGAGGATTAGTCCTAGAACTAATATTATGTACGACTATATACTATTATGTCTTATGTAATATAAATATTACACATAAGCATTTGCGTAAGTACGCTTAGTAATGCAATGTATTACAATGCTTAGTAATGTAAATTAGCCTTTTCCATATTACTGAACTATTGAGGTATCTACTATGTACCAGACACTGTTCTGGTGCTGGGGATACAGCAGTGAACAAAGTCCCTTTCTTCATGAAGCTATTACCAGTGGAAGAGTCTACATTGTGTGAAGGGAGGTCTGGGTTCTTGTATTCCAGAAAGATTTACATGAGGATCCGTGTTCAAATAAAGACACCAAGGAGGAAGGTAGCAAGCATAAAACAGTTTGCTTATTTATTTATTTATTTATTTATTTATTTATTTAAAACAGTTTATTAAGGACAGTACACTGGCAAGGTGGGAGAGTGGGCAGGCCCAGAGGTGGTAGCTGCACCTGGGTTAGGGGTCTCTTTTGTTTTTATGTTTGTGTAAGTTACAGGTCATAGCCGGGACAGTCTCTGGTTGGAAAGGGGAGTTTTGGGCTCTGCAGGGTTCTTGCCACAACTGTCATGGCCATCTTCCTCCTTGGTGGGGAGTGTAGAGGTTGAAACCACAATGTAAATATATTATAATGAAGCTGTAGGTTACCCTGGGGCAGAGGGAGGTGGAAGAGGAGAGCTTTGGCTCTTGGTCTATCAGCTCCTGGGCATTGGATGCCTTAATTTAAGGCCAGGATATTAAAAGCCAACAAGTCAGGATGTGATGCCCTTAGGCTTCTAATGTGTCACCTATTTATCACTGCCTTTGCCTCCTGCTCACGTTTAACTAACTGCCTATTCTACCAAAATCTATATCTAATGGAGAAGACGAATTAATTGGCAAGTCGTATAATATGTCAGGTAGGATAAGTTTAACAGGAATAATAAGATAGGTAATATTTGAACAAAGACCTGAATGAAGTGAGGAAACGATCTGAAGGCAGGGCTTCCAGACAGAGAAAACAAGTACGAGTGCAATTGCAAAGCCACAGAAGTAGGAGTGGCTGAGAATGCTGGAGCCATCGGGGAGGAGGGTGGTAGGAGTTGAGATGGCAAAGGTTAGCAGGGCCAAATCGCACATGGCCTGATATATTTAAGGACTTTGGGGTTGTTCTGAAGGAGATAGGAAGCTCTCAGTTCTAAGCAGAGGAAGGACATGATCCTAAATTTTTGAAAGGATCACTTGAGCTACTACTGTACCAAGAACAAGCTCTGTAGTGTAGCAAGGGTAGAGGCAGGGACCAGGAATTTCCATTAGGAGGCTATAGAAATTCTCAAAGCAAGATGATAGTGGCTTCTGGATTCTGGATGTATTTTGGAGGGTGAGCCAAAAGGATCTGTTGACAGATTAGGTAAGGATTTTCAGAGAAAGAGAAGAATCAAGGATCACTCCATGATTTTAGCCTGAGCCTTACAAAGAGTCTTTTTTTTTTTTTTTTCCAAATGAGTCATTCTTTTGCTAATGATTTAATCAATGGGAAATTTAGAGTATGCATGAAAGAAGAGACCACAGGCACCTAGGTAGCTCTGTGGGTTAGGCAGCCATCTCTTGACTTGGGCTCAGGTCATGATCCTATAGTTTGTGAGATTGAGTCCCATGTTGGGTTCCATGCAGACAGCCTGCAGCCTGCTTGGGATTCTCTCTCTCTCTCTCTCTCTCTCTCTCTCTCTCTCTCTCTCTGTCTGCCCTTACCCGGCTCATGCATGCATTCTTGCTTTCTCTCTAAAAAATAAATAAATAAACTTTAAGAAAGGAAGAGACAATACTGTTTTAAGTATATTACAAAATCATCTACTAATTTAGTAACCTATTCATTAGTAATCTATTTATTAAGCACCTACTATGTACCTGGCCCTGCTGCTTCAAAACATACAAATATGAATATCATATTGTCTCTGCCCTAGCAAAAAGCATATAGTCTACTGGAGAAGACAGATCTATAAACTGCTAATATAATTAATATAAATACTAATAATATAGGGCTGTGAGCAAAATGTTTTCTGGGAGATTTCAAGGACACTTTATCTATAAAGTCTTTTTTAGGAAATGGTATTTATACTAAGTAGAAGAATAAAAATTTTCCCACCGATGAGAAGAGTGTCATTCTAGGCACTTAAGTATTAGGATCAGTCAATTCAAATCTCTGTGTGAAAACATTTTAAAGTAACATTAATACCTGTGAATACTAATAATACTTATTTAATTTACAGAAAAAGAAAGCACTAAATGGTGAAGATCATTCAGGTTCTACAAATTCAGTATCTTCTCTTCACCCTGTGAAAGAACATGGTGTGTTGTTTGAATGCTCACCTGAAAAGTGGACAGATCAGAGAAAAACACCACCAGTTATGGCTTACTGGGTAGTAGGGTAAGTGGGGAAAACAAGTATTTGAAAGTAAAGTAAAATGTTAGAAAAGCAGTAAAAGAGATAAGCATTTTAAGATATAGGCACGGACAGGGCGCCTAGGTGGCCCAGTCGGTTAAGTGGCCAACTTCGGCTCAGGTCATGATCTCACGGTCCGTGAGTTCGAGCCCCGCGTCGGGCTCTGTGCTGACAGCTCAGAGCCTGGAGCCTGTTTTGGATTCTGTGTCTCCCTCTTTCTGACCCTCCCTCGTTCATGCTCTGTCTCTCTCTGTCTCAAGAATAAATAAACGTTAAAAAAAAAAATTAAAAAAAAAAAGATGTAGGCGTGGAATTATTAATCCAACTATAATATTTTAATAGACTTTAGAATTTTGCTTTATTTACCATCTCCTTAAATTCCTCCCAAGAATTTCTCTTTTTACTCTTTCTTTTTGTTATGTATTTTTAAATTCAAGTATAATTAACACACAATGTTATATTAGTTTTAGGCATACAATATAATGATTCAACAATTGTATACATTACTCAGTGTTCATCATGATAAGTGTACTCCTCATCCCCTTTACCTATCTCACCCATCTCCCACCCACCTCCCCTCTCTCAACCACCAATTTGTTCTCTGTATTTAAGAGACTGTTTTTCAGTTTGTCTCTTTTTCTTCTTTGTTTTGTTTCTTAAATTCTACATTTAAGTGAAATCATGTGGTATTTGTCTTTCTGACTATTGTCTTTTTCTATTAAAAAAAGATGATTTTGTTATCTTATAAAATTATACTACTAATACACTAAAAGATAATGATTCCACAATTTTACTATTTCCTTCTATCCATCCCTACTTCTTTTCTTCCCTGTCTCCTCCTTTCTTTACCTCTTCCTTCTTCTTTCTCCCCACCCCACCCACCAACTACAACACCCTGCCTGACCTAGCTCCTGCCCACTTGTTTCCATCTATCATTCCTTCTCTGCCCACTGTGCACAGCCACACTGGCATCCGTTGAATCTCGTTCCTGCTAGTCCTTCTGTGTGAAATGTTCTACCTCTTAACCTTTGTATGTCTGGCTCCTTGATATTCAGATCAATGTTGGCCTCAAAAAGAGGATCCATGGGTTTTATTCTCAAGTTAGTTAACATAAAGTGTAGTGTTAGTTTCAGGAGTAGAACCCAATGATTCATCACTTACATATAACACCCAGTGCTCATCCCAACAAGTTCTCTCCTTGATGCCCATCACCCATTTACCCCACCCCCATCAACCCTCAGTTTGCTCTCTGTATTTTGAAGTCTCTTATGGTTTCCCTCCCTCTCAGTTATTGTTTATTTTCTTGTTTGTATATGGTCTTCCTCCCCTTCACTAGAAAATTAGCTTTATGAGGTCAGGAATTGTATCCGTCTTGTCCACTACTGGTGCCTGCAACAGCATTGTACATAGTCACTTGATAAATATGTAACAATTGAGTAAATGGAGTTGTGCTTGGCAAAATGTGGTAGTGGGAGGGTGGTATGGCAAACACGAAGATAAAGTCACAGCTATCAGCAGTCTTACATCTAGAAGAAGAAATACAAAATATGCTCAAACATATATATATATATATATTTATTTATGGATATATAGATTTTTTTTAGATAGATAGAATGAATTAGTTGATACAACCAAACACTATGGGAGTTCTGAGGAAGGGGTGAAAACCTATGTTGGGATTACAAAGAAAGGCTTATAGATTCTATTTGGCCTAGTTTGAAAATGAATTGGATTTGGATAGAACATTCTAGGAAAAGGATGGGATGAAGAAAGACCGAAACAAGGGAAATCATAAGGCATACAGTGAGTAGACTGATTTGCCAGGATGGTAAAGGAATGATATATACAAAGATAAAATGAAAGATCGACTGGAAAGCTAAGTTAGGACCACTGCAAAGAGCCTCCAATTTCTGACCCAGGAATTCAGTTTTGAGCAAAATATTGAACCACTAAACATTCTTTGAGTTGCAGTAAAGAATTGATGGAAGAGCTGGCTACTGGTGTGGTACCCACACCTGGCCCTTGGGGGTAGGGGAGCCAGCCCTGACTAGGTAGTGAACTCAGAGGTGCATTGGGAGAGTAGTCCCCTCCTTCGAGTGCTATGGGAAGAAGATATATTGCCACTCCAAAGACAAATGACTCTGCAGGCACCAGCCAGAGACCTTTCGTCAGCTGGGTGGAGTGGCACTATGGGGCACATGGAGCAGGATCCTTTCAGACATTGGAGTTTGAATCCCAGCCAAGTGCCTCAGAGGCGTTGGAGACTACGGAGTGGGACAAACAGGCTGCTCGCACCTGCACGGTGCTATGAGGATTGTCTGAACAGTGTGGTTTGTGACACCCGGCAGGGGAGCGGAGATTGGGGTGTTACCGTTTTTCTCCCCATCACCAACTTGGTGGGGCTTCAGGGAACAAGACAGCACCCACCGCCCCCCCAGTGGAGGCGGGACCTGTTTATACCAAATCCCACCCCTCCGTGCCTGGCAACTGCATATCTACCAGAGCGAGACTGACTCTGACTGAACCAGAAGGCCCCTCCTCTAGACCAGCACAGCTGCCAGTTCCAAGGCACCATCCGACAACGACATTTTTAATCTATTCTTTTTATACCTCTTCTGTATCTCCTTCCTCTTTATTTTCCTCTCTCTCTCTCTCTCTCTCTCTCTCTCTCTCTCTCTGGATTAAGCCATGTAGTTTCTCAGAACCTCTGCCTGGTCATTTTATTTTTCCCCACCCCTGTCATTTCTCTCTTTGTATGAAATAAGGCTTCTTTCACCACCACCCCCTTTCTTAATTTTTTCCACGTTATTTCAATGAACAAATCAAAGCACACCTGGTGGAAGGTCCAAACCACCACTACAAATAGGAAGATAAAGCAACCAGAGTCACAACAACAGACAACACTCAACACACTCCAAAAACACCTCCTGAAGGGCCAGGCCCTGGACAGTGTATGACCCCTTTTTGATATAGTAGTACTCACAGATGCAGGACACATAACAAACTATTAAAACATGTAAAAGGCAGAAAACTAACCAAAATTATGAAACAGAAGGATTTTCCTTAAGAAAAATTCCAGGAAGAAGTGACAGCCAGAGAATTGCTCAAAATAGATATAAACAATATATCTGAGCAGAATTTAGAATAATAGTCATAAGATTAATAGCTGGGCTTGAAAAAAGCATAGAAGACAGCAGAGAATCTATTGCTGCAGAGATCAAGGAACTAATAGTCACAATTAATTAAGAAATGCTGTAAATGAGGTGCAAAATAAACTAGATACAGTGACAGCAAGGATGGAGAAAGGAGAGGAGAGAATAACTGAAATAGAAGATAAATTATGGAAAATGATGAAGCCAAGAAAAAGAGAATAAAAAAATAGTAGGCCACGAGGGGGGAATTAGAGACCTAAATGATTCAATGAAATATAATAATATCTATCCATATCATAGGAGTTCCAGAGGAAAAAGAGAGAGAGAGAAAGGGGCAGAGGTTTATTTGAACAAATTATAGCTGAGAACTTCCCTAATCTGGGGAAGGAAGCAGACATCCAAGTTCAGGAAGCACAGAGAACTCCCTTCAGAATAAACAAGAACAGGTCTTCATCATGTAATATCATAGTGAAACTGGCAATATGCAAAGATAAAGAGAGAATTCTTTAAGCAGCTAGGGACAAATGGGTCTTAACCTACAAGGGTAGACACATAAGGGTAGTAGCAGACCTGTCCGCTGAAACTTGGCAGTCCAGAAGAGAGTGGCAGGAAATATTCAATGTGCTGAAATATAAAATATGCATCCAAGAATCCTTTATCCAGCAAGGCTGTCTTTCAGAACAGAAGGAGAGATAAAGGCTTTCCCAGACAAACAAAAACTGAAGGAGTTAATGACCACTAAACCAGATCTGCAGGAGATCCTAAGGGGGACTCTGAGTGGAATGCTACAAAGACTACAGAGGACCAGAGACATCACCACAGGCACGAAACCTACAGATAACACAAAGACACTAAATCCATATTTTTCAATAATCACTCTGAATGTAAATGGACTAAGTGCCCCAATCAAAAGACATAGAATATCATAATGGATAAAAAACCAAGATCCATCTATATACTGTCTACAAGAGACTCATTTTAGACCTGAGGCACCTTCAGATTGAAAGCGAGGGGATAGAGAGCCATCTATCATGCTACTGGAAGTCCAAAGAAAGCTGGAGTAGCCATATTTGTCTCAGACAAACTAGATTTTAAACTAAAGACTGTAAAAAGAGATGAAGAAGGGCATTCTATCATAATTAAGGGGTCTGTCCATCAAGAATAGCTAACAGTTGTAAATGTGTCCTCTACTTGAGAGCACCTAAATATATATATATATATATATATATATATATATATATATATATATATCAGTTAATCACAAACATAAGCAATCTTATTGATAACAATATGGTAATTGTAGGTGATGTTAATACTCCCCTTACAGCAATGGACAGATCATATAGGCAGAAAAATCAATAAAGACACAATGTCTTTGAATTATACACAGGACTAGATGGACTTGAAAATATATTCAGAACTTTTCATCCCAACGTAGCAGTATACACATTCTTCTCAACTGCACATGGAACATTCTCCAAAATAGATCATACACTGGGTCACAAAACAGCCCTCAATAAATATAAAAGAATTGAGATCATACCATGTGTATTTTCAGACCACGATGCTATGAAACTTGAAATCAACCACAAGAAAAAATTTGGAAAGCCTCCAAATGCATGGAGGTTAAAGAATATTGTACTAAAGAATGAATGGGTCAACCAGCCAATTAAAGGAGAATTTAAAAATATATGGAAGCAAATGAAAATGAAAACATGACAGTCCAAAGACTTTAGGATGCGGCAAAGATAGTCCTAAGAGGAAAATACCTTGCAATCCAGGACTATCTCAAGAAACAAGAAAAATCCCAAATACAAAACCTAATTTCACACTTAAAGTAACTAGAAACAGAGCAGCAAAGAAACCCTAAAGCCAGCAGAAGAGAAATAATAAAGATTAAAGCAGAAATAAACAATATAGAATTAAAAAAAAAAAAAAACAGTGAAAACAGATCAATGAATCTAAGAGCTGGTTTTTTGAATAAACAAAATTGATAAAACCCTAGCCAGTCCTCTCTCCAAAAGAAAAGAGAGAACCCAAATAGGTAAAATCATGAATGAAAGAGGAAAGATCACAACCAACACCACAGAAATATCGTTATTAGAGAATACTGTGAAAAATTATACGCCAAGAAACTGGACAATCTGGAAGAAATGGACAAATTCCTAGACACCTAAAACTCAAACAGGAAGAAATAGAAAATTTAAACAGACCTATAACCAGCAAAGAAATTGAATCGGTTATCAAAAATCTCCCAGCAAATAAGAGTCCTGGGCCAGATAGCTTCCCAGGGGAATTCTACCAGACATTTAAAGCAGAATTAATACCTATTCTTTTCAAGTTTTTCCAAAAAATAGAAACAGAAGGAAAGCTTTCAGACTCACTCTATGAAGCCAGCATTCCTTTATTCCCAAACCAAAGATCCCACTAAAAAAGGAGAATTACAGGCCAATATTCCTGATGAACATGGATGCAAAAATTCTCAACAAGATACTAGCAAATCTAATTCAAGAGTATATTAAAAGAATGATTCACCATGATCAAGTGGGATCCATTCCTGGGCTGCAGGGCTGGTTCAATATTTGCAAATCAATCAATGTGATACATCATATTAATAGAAGAAAAGATAAGAACCATATGATCCTGTCAATAGATGCGGAAAAAGCATTTGACAAAATACAGCATCCTTTCTTAATAAAAACCCTCAAGAAAGTTGGGATAGAAGGAATATACCTTAACATCATAAAAGCCATATATGAAAGGCCTACAGCTAATATCATCCTCAATAGAGAAAACCTAAAAGCTTTCCCCCTGAGATCAGGAACACAGTGGGGATGTCCATTCTCACCACTGTTGTTTAACATAGTGTTGGAAGTCCTAGCCTCAGCAGTTAGACAAAAAAATGAAACAAAAGGCATCCAAATTGGCAAGGAAGAAGTCAAACTTTCATTTTTTGTAGATGACATGATACTCTACATGTAAAACCCAAAACGCTCCACCAAAAAACTGCTAGAACTGATCCATGAATTCAGAAAAGTCACAGGATGTACAATCAATGTACAGATCAGTTGCATTCCTATACACCAATAATGAAGCAACAGAAAGAGAAATCAAGAAATCAGTCCCATTTACAGTTGCACCAAGAATCATAAAATACCTAGGAATAAACCTAACCAAAGACGTAAAAGATCTGTATGCTAAAAACTATAGAAAACTTATGAAAGAAATTGAAGAAGACACAAAGAAATGGGAAAACATTCCATGCTCATGGAATGGAAGAACAAATATTGTTAAAATGTCGATACTACCCAAAGCAATCTACACGTTCAATTCAATTCCAGTTAAAATTGCACCAGCATTATTCTCAGAACTAGAATAAACAATCCTAAAATTTGTATGGAACCACAAAAGACCCTGAATAGCTAGAATAATGTTGAAAAAGAAAACCAAAGCTGGAGGCATCACCATCCCAGACTTTAGCCTGTGCTACAAAGCTGTAATCATCAAGACAGCATGGTATTGGAACAAAAATAGACACATAGAGCAATGGAATAGAATTGAGAACCCAGAATTGGACCCACAAATATATGGCCAGCTAATCTTCAACAAAGCAGGAAAGAGTATCCAATGGAAAAAAGACAGTCTCTTTAGCAAATGGTGCTGGTAGAACTGGACAGCAACATGCAGAAGAATGGACCTGGGCCACTTTCTTACACCATACACAAAAATAAACTCAAAATGGATGTAAGACCTAATGTGAGACAGGAGACCATCAATACCCTAGAGGAGGGCAACGACAGGCAACAACCTCTTTGACCTTTGCAACTGAGGTTGCAGCAACTTCTTACTCAGCACATCTCTGCAGGCAAGGGAAATAAAAGCAAAAATGAACTATTGGGACCTCTTCAAGATAAAAAGCTTCTGCATAGCAAAGGAAACAATCAACAAAACTAAAAGGCAAATGACAGAATAGGAGAAGATATTTGCTAATGACATACCAGATAAAGGTTATTATTCAAAATCTATAAAGAATTTACCAAACTCAACACTGGAAAAACAAATAATCCAGTGAAGAATTGGGCAGAAGACATGACTAGACACTTTTACAAAGAAGACATCCAGATGGCCAACAGACACATGAAAAAATGCTCAACATCACTCATCATCATGGAAATACAAATCAAAACCACACTGAGATACCACCTTACACCGGTCAGAATGGCTAAAATTAACAACTCAGGAAACAACAGATGTTGACAAGGATGTGGAGAATCAGGAACCCTCTTGTACTGCTGGTGCAAATGCAATCTGGTACAGCCATTCTAGAAACAGTGTAGAGTTTCCTCAAAAAATTAAAAACAGAATTACCCTACAACCCAGCAATAGCACCACTAGGAATTTATCCACAGGATACAGAGTGCTGATCACATGCATCCCAATGTTTATAGCAGCACTATCAACAATAGCCAAATTATGGAAAAAGCCCAAATGTTCATCAACTGATGAATGGATAAAGAAGATGTGGTATATATATACAATGGAATACTACTCAGCAATGAGAAAGAATGAAATTTTGCCATTTGCAACAATGTGGATGGAACTGGAGAGTATTATGCTAAGTGAAATAAGTCAGAGAAACATATCATGTGTTTTCACTCATATGTGGAATTTGAGAAACTTAACAGAAGACCATGGGGAAGAAGGGGAAAAAAATAGTTACAAACAGAGAGGGAGGGAGGCAAACCACAAGAGACTCATAAATGCAGAGAACAAACTGAGGGTTGACAGGGGCGGGGGAGAGGGGAAAATGGGTGATGGTCATTGAGGAGGGCACTTGTTGGGATGAGCACTGGGTGTTGTATGTAAGCAATGAATCATGTGAATTTACTCCCGAAGCCAAGAGTACCCTGTATACACTGTATGTTAGCTAACTTAAACATAAATTATATTTAAATTAATAAATAATAAATAAAAAACGAAATTTAACCTAAAAAAAATTGGTGGAAGAAGTAATCCTGTGTATTGGTCCATAAGATTTAGAATCACCTGAGTCACTTATTAAAATCAGAGATGCCTGTGGCCCACCCCAGACCCACTAACAGAATCTAGGATAGCGGGACTCTATATTTTTAGTAAACTCCTTGTGATTGTGATGTGTAATCAATCAAAGTTGGGAGGAGCATCAGCATAAGCTCAACTCTGTGTAGTCTGATTAGAGATGTGCTACTGTAAGATTACACCAGGAGCAGGAAAGGGAGTAGTGTAGACACAGAACAGAGATAAGAACAGTTAGGCATACATGCACATGTGCAGTGGAGCCTTAACTACATTCACAACAATTGGAATAGAAAGAATCAAAATGTATTGAATTATGATGATGCAGATATGTAGATACTAGATAAATTTGGAGCACCTGGGTGGCTTACTCAGTTAAGCGTCCAACTTGGGATCAGGTCAAGATTTCACAGTTCGTGAGTTCGAGCCCCACATAAGGCTCTGTGCTGACAGCTCAGAGCCTGGAGCCTGCTTCAGATCTCTCTCTCTGCCCCTCCTTCGCTTGCACTCTGTCTCTCTCAAAAATAAATAAACATTGGGGCGCCTGGGTGGCGCAGTCGGTTAAGCTTCCGACTTCAGCCAGGTCACGATCTCGCGGTCCGTGAGTTCGAGCCCCGCGTCGGGCTCTGGGCTGATGGCTCAGAGCCTGGAGCCTGTTTCTGATTCTGTGTCTCCCTCTCTCTCTGCCCCACCCCTGCTCATGCTCTGTCTCTCTCTGTCCCAAAAATAAATAAATGTTAAAAAAAAATTAAAAAAATAAATAAATAAATAAACATTAAAAAAAAAGAATAGAGAAATTTAAGGAAGTCAGGCAAACTATCTCTGATTTAAATAGTTTGATTTGTATATACTAATGTCCACTAAATGTATCAAAACAAATTTTTTTTTTTTTAATGTTCATTTATTTTTGAGAGAGAGAGAGACAGCAACAGAGTGTGAGAGGGCTAGGGGCAGAGAGAGATAGAGACACAGAATCAGAAGGAGGTTCCAGGCCCCGAGCTGTCAGCACAGAGCCTGACGCAAGGCTCAGATTTACAGGCCATGAGATCATGACCTTAGCTGAAGTCGGGCACTTAACCAACTGAGTCACCTAGGTGCCCCATAAATATATCAAAAATTTAACTCTCTAAAAAAATCAAAGTTTCAATGGTATTTCCAATTGAATACTATCTCCAAAAACAAATCATATATTTAAAATGTTTTAATAATAATTAACATTTAGAAAGTAAATGGCAGTGTTCAGTAACTATTGTACTTAATGATGTTAACATCAATTGGCTTTGTTGTAATAATGACTACATTTAATATTTTAAAACTGAGGGATATGGTAATTACATATTGATGAAATAGGCTTTTTACACTCTGGAAAAATAGAAATAATTGACCTAAGACATATATTATTTATTTAAAAATTAATCTAGCTATATTTCCCCCTACTATAGATTTAGACTAGTGGTTTTTAATTCACTAGTAATTCTTTCAAAAACAAAAATAAGATATATTAAAAGATTGGAGGTTTTTCCCTTTGATTTTTGTTTTTTGATTTCTGAAATGAGTGTGTTCTTTTCCTCTATAGGAGACTCTTTCTTCGTCCCAAACTTCAAGAACTTTACGTCTGTTTTCATGATTCAGTCACAGAAATTGCCATAGAAATGGCTTTTAAATTGTTCTTTGGATTAACCTTGTAGCTGTGTTTTCTTAATGCATAGCAACTATGCATGGAACATTGAACAGTGTTAGAATTGCTGAAAACATACACAAGAAGATAAGGTTTAGCTTCTTTTAACTGTTCAGTTTTGAACATAATAATGTTAAATATTGAGATGATATGCTCTTGGGTTTGATGCACTAAATCTTACGTAGTATTGTCAGACTTTTGAAAAGATACTTGATCAAAATAAGAAGGGATTTTTAACTTATTTCCATTTTTGTATGTAATGTTAATTTATTGACTAGTTTGAAATAATGTGAAGTTTTATATAAAATTAATAGAGGAAATATTTATCTTGAGGAACTATTTATCTTGGAAAAATACACAGTTCATAAGTAAATTCACTTGTGTATTTTTCTTAAGACTAATGAGGATATCTGGTGAAAGAATCACAAAACTGGAGGATGTGACCAGGTCCTGTAACTAATTAGTGCTATGACCATGAACAAGTTTTTGTACCTCTCTGAGCTCAGAATCTTCATGTATAAATGAGATGACTGCATTGAGACTTCTAAAGTCCCTCTTAAGTAACATGTGCAATTCTTTTTCTTCTTGCCTACTCATCAGTATCTAAATTTGTAATGTCCAAGTACTGACTCCTTATTAGATCAAATACTTTTCTTTAGTTTAAGTGCTTTAATAGATACCTCACTGTGGGGTAGAAGAACTAAGGAATGAAAATTAAACTTTTTTCTCTATTTATTTGATTCTCTTTACTCTTTCAGATCAGCTCTGTTTTGTCCAGAATATAGTTTTTAAACTATTTAGTGTCCATAAACTTTTATTATTTTTCTTTTTGTTGAAATATATTCAGGTATGCACACACATTTTATATAGTTCATGAATTTCAAGACAGCTGTATGTAAATCTTTTTACGAACCTAATCATGTTAAAAAACACTGAAAAACTTGGATTAAAGTAATCCTATGGTGACTTGTTAAGTACTAATTTTTGCCTTACAAATATGTCTCATTATGTGTTGGGTTTTCCCAGAGGGAGGTACCTTAATGAGCAAAAGTTTACTTGACCTTCAGTAGAGAAAGAAAACTAATGAGATAAGAGTTTTCTTTGACTGTGACAATTTGGTAGATTGAGAAGGAAGGAAAAACATAATAACTGCATTTTTTATTACTATTTACCTAATGGATCCTCCTGAAGTCTCAGATGCCCTTAAGACTACAATACTGGGTTTTTTCTTCTTCAGGACTTAAGATTTGGAAGGAAAATTATGCCAACACATGTAAAATCAGTTTCTATTTCCTTCCCCTCAGACGCCTGGAACATGAGCCCTCCAGGTTAAAATTAACTGTAAAACATAGTGGGTGCACCATTTGAAATATTTGGTCTTTTTTTTTAATTTTTTTTTTTTAACGTTTATTTATTTTTGAGACAGAGAGAGACAGAGCATGAACGGGGGAGGGTCAGAGAGGGAGACAGAGAATCTGAAACAGGCTCCAGGTCTGAGCTGTCAGCACAGAGCCCGACGCGGGGCTTGAACTCACGGACCGCAAGATCATGACCTGAGCCGAAGTCAGCCACTCAACCGACTGAGCCACCCAGGCGCCCCTGAAATATTTGGTCTTAAAAGAAACACTGTTACCTTTCTGTAATCAGTTTGAGAAATTTTCACCCAGGTATTTAAAGTGCAAATGACTATATTTGTCCTATTAGTGACTTGTGGGCCTTAAATTTAACATTGAAATCAAGGCAAGAAACTTTGGTTCTTGAAATGTACAAAATGGCTTAAAATATCCTCCCCTTAAGATCACAGTATTGGTCAGAATGGTAGACTCTTTACCACTGCATTAGTTTAAGGAACTTTGTTTATAAGTATTTATTAAATGTCTTAAATTTCTTACTATGTCCCCCAAAAACCATGTGCTATTTTCAATACTGAGATGTATTAATAAATGCAGCTATTAATCCCCTCAGCTTTTCAAACAGACTGAACTAAAATATCTCAGGTTTTATTATAAGGGACTTTTTAAAATTTCATTTAATGAAATTTTGGTCTTTTGAACTGCTTTAATGGTGTCAAAGAATCTTGAGACCACCACTCAATAACTAAAATAAAAAGACAAAGTAGTCTACTTACCTTAATAAGAGGAAAATCCTTTGCTACATTGTAGATGTATAGCATAATGTTCATGTTGCAGAGACATTGCATTTTTAGGAAATAAAACCAAACATTGTGGTTGTCATCTCTAAATGGATATTGAAGTAAGCATTGTAACTAAATCTAGCTGCCCATTTTCCAGATTTATTGAGATGCACATCTGAAAGATCAATCTGACTATTGGCCAATGACTGCCTATCTGCCACTTTATTTAAAAAAAAAAAGGGACAAAGTAAAAGTGCAGATACCCCAGAGGTATGTTTTAGCAAATACAGAAACATTCTTAAGTTGGATTTTATTTTATTTTTTTTAATTTTTTTTTTCAACGTTTATTTATTTTTGGGACAGAGAGAGACAGAGCATGAACGGGGGAGGGACAGAGAGAGAGGGAGACACAGAATCGGAAACAGGCTCCAGGCTCTGAGCCATCAGCCCAGAGCCTGACGCGGGGCTCGAACTCACGGACCGCGAGATCGTGACCTGGCTGAAGTCGGACGCTTAACCGACTGCGCCACCCAGGCGCCCCAAGTTGGATTTTATTATTAGCATCCTGCAAATGTTCCCTTTTACTAGACTATGAATGCAAAAGACTATAGAACTATCAATTTTGGAAAATACCAGGTACTATTTTATCATCACCATATATCTTGTAGCCCCCCCAAAATTATGTTTTAGATTCTACACCTTCCACCCTTCACCCTCCTCCCCTTTCTTCGTTTGTTTTCTTTCTCTCGGGTTAGAGAACTGTACTTAGCAAAGGAGAGTTTCTTATTTATGCCAAGAAACTGTTGATGATGATGCATACTGGCAAGATAGTAAATTTGCAGTGCCTGCTTTTTTATATTTCTGACACAAATGGGAGAAGTTGTGAAACCAATTTAGTAGGTTTGTCTGCTTTGAAAATTCTTGGAAATAATATTGTGAATAACTACTTGTTATCTGTGTAAGTTCCCCCTAAATAGTGCCTGCACAGTGCACACGCTGTAAAAGTGTTAGCTACTACTACTACCACCACCATCTATTATTATTATCCATTGGTTGAAAACCCAGGAGCCAGCTAAATCATACCTGCTGCTGTAAAAAGTGTTGGGAAAAATCTGAGAAAAAAATTCAGCACTGAACACTTTGAGAACAAGGATGTATACTTTGGATATTCTAAAATACATTATTAAATGTTATTAAAACTTTAATCTATACACTAAACTGTGTGAAAATGATTTAATTTTCTAGAGTTGTATTTCTCTATATAATGAAGCTATTTTTATATTGATAGTCTTAAATAAAGATGGTTTGGAGGTATGTTTGCAGTTGTGTTGTCCTTTCATGCATTCAGCCAACAAATATTTATTGACTTTCTACTCTGTGCCACGCACTGTTCTGGATGCCAGGGGTAAAGCGGTGAACAAAACAGCTAAAAACGGACGTTCACGGACCTGATGTTCCAGTGGAAGAGGAAGGCCACAAATAAGTAAAATATGTTGATAAAAGCTAAGAGGGGAAAAAAAGTGAAGGAAGAAATTGGATAGGAAGTGTGAGAAATAGGGTAGCCAGAAAAAGGGTTACTGAGGTGACCCTAGACCTGAACTAAGAGGAAACTAACCATGCTGATTTCTAAGGAAAGCAGAGTGAACAGCTCAAAGGCCCTGAGATGCTGTACTTTTATATCAACATGTAAATCACCAGAACTTTTTTTGATCCCAAAATCAGTAAATAAAATGCAATGCAGCTGGTGAAACATTTTAAGCTCAGACTTTAGAAAAGAGCTGATCCACAGCTCTTAAGGTAAAAAGCTACATTTCTAAGTATTTTCACTTTTGCTATCTTCTGTCAATGAATATATGTCAGAAATAAGCTTGAGGATATGATAAATCAGTGTGCTATAAACATTGTCAACTATAGGGTCAAAAATGGGGTTTCAGGGGAAAGGGAGTCAAGAAAGGAAGGAAGAGAAAATTTGCCTGGGGAACAACAGAACACTTGCTTTTCTGTCTGAGATATATATATATATGTTCCTTGGGACCGGAGATCTTCCTTTGACCTCTCTTGGCACCTTAAGAACACAATCTTGCCTGGAATGTGATTCAAGCATTCCCTGTGCCCCCTTAAATTTCTCCCTGTGTGCTTGTTAATACTTTAATATCCTATAAAGGAGACCGAAACCTCTTTTATTATTCATATTTTTGCAGATAAAACATCAATCACGTCTTGAATTTGCATGGATTTCACAAAGGGTTTTGAAATCCGTGCAATGAGAAGACTTTAAATCTTTTAAGCCTAGGAACAATTAATGCAATTGCTTCAGAAAGCTTAATCTAGTAGCAGCATGTAAAATGGAGAGATTTGGCCGTAAAACCAGTTAAGGGTCGAATAAGCTGCCATGGAAAGGAAGGTAGCACCAAAATGGTACCAGCAGGACTTGCCACCTGCTTTTGTATGAGGTAATCAAAATATAAACAAAATTCCTGCTCTGGAACCCTGGCCTAAATATGGTTTTGTACTAGTGACAAGTAGTATTAAAAGTGTTATAACACACATAAGATAAAAAACTAGAACCTCAAGTTCAAACAACTAACTCCTACAGAGTAAGAGATGATAAAATAGGATCTCTTTATTAGAAACCATCAAATAAGCTATAAAGAAAGAAATCAGGAGTATATTAGATGCTACTACAGAAAGATTTCCAGGATGTACAAAGTGAAAAAAAGCAAGGTGAAAGAAAATACAGCAAGACCTCATGTCCAGGATAGATGTATGTCTACTGCATATACTTGCCCAGAGTCAGACCTGAACCTGGTAACACTCCAGATGAATTCTCAAAACTGTGGTATGCATATAGATGTCACCAAGACCTCCTCGGAGACACCATGAGATAAAAACTTTACTTAAAAAAATTTTTTTTTCATCATTTTTTTATTTTTGGAGACAGAGAATGAGCGAGGGAGGGGCAGAGAAAGCGAGGGAGACACAGAATCAGAAACCGACTCCAAGCTCTGAGCTGTCAGCACAGAGCCGGACACCGGGCTCAAACTCATGAACCACGAGTTCATGACCTAAACCAAAGTCCGAGGCTGAATGGACTGAGCCCCAGGCGCCCCTAAGAACTTTTCTTAATAATACTAAGACGTTACTTGTCTGTTTCACTCTGATTCTCTCAGTGCATAGTGGAGTTTTCCAACAGCCCCACGATGTGTGGTATTGCAGTAGACTGGGTACAAAAGCAGCCATGTAAATCCAGCTGTCGTTTATTACGGCAGGAATTGAAGAGATTTTCAAAAATAAAAAACAAGGCTATTCTCATTTGTTTTGAAAAATAGTTACTTTTTATTTAAAAATGTTATTTTTATATGGGCTATTTTAAGTGAATTAATATTTTTTAATTTTCAGTTTCAGTTTCTGAAACGGTATCAATATATAAGAAAAACAAAAGCTTCCTAGTGGTCTTAGTTTTTTGAAAGTGAAAAGTGATCCTAAATTAAGTTTGTGAGGTACTGTTCTAGAATAGGTCCTTGGTTCTCAGCCTCCCCAAGCCCAAGCATTAGTTAAAACAGCGTAGCCCTGTCTTCTTTGGCTGTCTGGATTGAGAAACACTGCTCCAGATGAAATTACCAATTTAAATAAAATCCAAAAGAAAGAGGAACACGTCGAATTAAGCTATTGGGGTGCAATCAGCAAAGCCAGACTGAAAATGTGACTAGATAAACAAGCCCTGCTAAATTCAAGGAGCGGAAATAAAGCAACTTTTTTTTTTTTCAATGTTTATTTATTTTTGGGACAGAGAGAGACAGAGCATGAACGGGCGAGGGGCAGAGAGAGAGGGAGACACAGAATCGGAAACAGGCCCCAGGCTCTGAGCCATCAGCCCAGAGCCTGACGCGGGGCTCAAACCCATGGACCGCGAGATCGTGACCTGGCTGAAGTTGGACGCTTAACCGACTGCGCCACCCAGGCGCCCCAGAAATAAGGCAACTTTTAAGAGAAAATGAAAGGGTAACTCTGGGAACCAAAATTTAAAACTTGATTAACCCCACACGTTGGCTTACTCTACTATGTTCTAGTTTTGCCTACTAAATATCTGTATACTGGACTAGGTCCGCACTCTCCCTTCCTGCACCTCCGCCGTTCAGTACCCATCGCCTGCTAACACTGCGGGCAGCAAGGAAAACCCAGACCCGGGTTTGTCAAAGGCAGCGCTCAGCGCTGAGGAGACACGTGTTGGGAGTCACGTGGCTGGTGCCAGAAGGCGGGAGGCGGTTGGAGGCGCCTGCGCAGCTCCGCGAACTCCCCCAGGCCCTGGCGCGCCGATCTCGCGGCAACCTGAGCGTCGCTTTCCCGCCAGGGCGAAGCCGAAGCGGTTTTAGGCTTCCCTTCGTAGATTCTCTCAGGCTTTTTTCCTTGTGCAGCTGCCCATTTTTACCGCCGTCCTCCCACCATGCAGCGTGAACCTCCGAAGGGGAGGCAGGGGAAGAAGTCGGAAAAGCGGCTCTTTGACCCCATGTCCTTCGGGAAGGACCTACTGGCCGGCGGGGTCGCAGCGGCTGTGTCCAAGACAGCCGTGGCGCCCATCGAGCGGGTGAAGCTGCTGCTGCAGGTGCAGGCGTCGTCCCGACAGATCAGCGCCGAGTCTCAGTACAAAGGCATGGTGGATTGCCTGGTGCGGATTCCCCGCGAGCAGGGTGCGTACCAGAGGCCACCGTGCCAACCTTTCCCGGTCTGGGTCAGCTTGTCAGAAAAGGGGAGAGGGGCGGGAGTGGGTAACTGCACCACAGATGTGCCTGTCCGTGATGCGTTTGTTTCTATACCGTTGACAGTTCAGTTTCTTAGCTAACCTAAGAGGCTCCCCTTTCCAGAGCCAGGAAGGCCTGTAACGTGACCAGTCCTGGGTAGGAGAGGCCACCACATTCTCTTTTTTCGCTTAAGTTTCTCCTTCACATCGGGATTTACACCTTGCTGTAGTTGTGCCTGGGTCAGAAGGAAAATGGTTGACCTCCCAGGATTGAGGGAGATGCCATTAGGCATGTTAACAGGCGCTTTAAGTTGCTTAAATATTTGTTGAAATAATATTCTTAGAAGTACTCCAAATATGGTAGTGTAGGAGCCTCCCAATACTCTGCTACCTATTGAGTGAAAAGAGGTTCTGTTCATTCTTCAGAACTACTGAAGACCAGGGCTGAAACTAAAGAGGCATTCACCCGTGCACAAATTGGAGGAGGGTACCCCAAAACTCAGTAAAGACAAATGATATTTTAGTGCAGTATTTTAAAAAATCAAAGTTAATTTGAAAAATCCAAAGTGAGCAAAATATCAAAATTTTAAATAAAGACGAGAATAACATTACCAGTTTTTCTTTTTGTATCAGCCCTGCCTTAATTAAAATTATGATTTTTTTTTTCATTGTAAAGGTTTTTTTCCAGTGATACCGAAATGATTTCAAGGGATAGATAAAGCGTTTTGTTAACCATTAAATACCCTTCTGTTGCAGAATTGCTCTTAAGTTAGCTAAGTAGATAAGAGGATAAATTTATCAAAAATCTTCTATAAATCACCCATGTAGTTGTATTCAGTTGAAAACTCAACAAGAACTTTAAAAAGGCAATAGGCCTGTTTATTGTGTAGCCTGAACAGAGTGGCTTCAACTCCAGGGCCTGCCCTTTCTTCTACTCGTAAGTCTATGCCAGGTTACTCTCCCATGAGAAAACCATTCTCTCCCCAGAGATGTAGTTACAACTCCTCTAGGCCTGTTGGGTGTGGTATTTAGGGTGGAGTGGAACTGTTTTTTGCTTCTGTTTTTTTGTTTTTTGGGTTTTTTTGGTGTGTAACTCTTAAGGCATCATCTAAGCTGTAAATTTAGGATACTCACCTGGAGAGCTGAGCTCAGATCTTTCATAGTGCTTCACATTTCTCCACTCCCATTTGTAAGCTTCCCGTTTCCCCCAAGGTTTTTACAGGAAAGGTAGGAACCTATCTCCACTTGGTTTATATTC